AGGTTCACGGAAACTCCTTCCAAAGTGGGAAGGACCATACACAATCACAAAAAGACGGGGTCAAGTATATACCATCCGAAGAGGTGATAAACAGAAACGAGTTAACGCCAGTCAGCTCCAAAGATGGGTACAGTGGGACAAGCCGGTCAGTAACAATCCTCAACTAGAGGATGTAGCACCCAGAAGGTCGGAACGTCTGCGCACGAAGCTATTTGACGGGGGGACGAGTGTGGTGAGAGCAGGCTGCTAGCCGATTGGTTGGCACTAATCTACGTTAAGGTCTAGGTCACTAATATGGGCCGTGAGAAAATATGAACAAGGCTGAGTCAACAACCAATCACAGCAAAGTTAACGTGGCAAAATATGATTCGCAGATAGAGAACTCTATTTGTCAAGGAATCCCGAAACAACCAATCAGAAGCCTGCGTTTGTCTACCTAACTTCTGATAAACAACCAATCAGATGACTGCGCTTGTCTATAATAATGTAGTTGAAATATGTATAAATACGTGTTGATTTTCATAATAAAACGATCTGTTGCTTCGCCCTTGTCTTCTGTTGTTACAATGGTACTGTCTCTGATTCCCATACTTTGCCTAGTACCTCAGTTAATCTACAAACTAGTATGTCACCCCCATATTTAAACACCTCCGGAATGATTCCGTCGGGTCCTGCCGCTTTGCCTCGTTTCAAATTACTGATAGCTTTTGTAACCTCACCTACAGACGGCGGACCAGTGTCTATATCCCATTCGGGTACGTGGTGGATGGCGGGGAGGTTCAGTGTGGCTGTAGGCAAGTTAAATTGTTCCTCAAAGTGTTCTTTCCACCGTTCAAGGCGTCTATCCTGAGAGCTAATTAGAGAGCCATTTTTCTCAGAAGCTTATGGTGTTAAGGAGAAATGTGACTGCAAACGTTGTTAATGACACATGCATTCACTCTGTGTAATCTCACATATCCGAGCAACCCTTTTTTTCCTTATCACTGTTCGTTCTCCATCACATTTATGCTCATTATAGTTCCATTTAATTTCTTTTTTCTTTACTTTTGTGTGCTACATGGAATGTGATAACTTAAACGGGTGCACTTGTGTTCAAGCTTCTATGTTGAAAGTCACTCTGTCAGAATGGTCTATAATGAAATGCTAAAACGTAGATAAAAATAAGCGAAATGTCAACAAGTGATAGTCGCATTTTTTCATTTGGTTCTCGTCTAACTGAAAAAAGGAGTTATCTCAATAATTACTCCTCTTACCCGAGATAACTTTTACACTCTGTCTCGTTTTATATCAAGCGTTAGTTTATTTTATCCCACATCCTAAATTCTAGGTCGAAATACATCTGATGAAATATGTTTCGTTTATTACCAACTAAATATAATATTTTTCAAGTGTGGAATGTAACAAATCGAGTTGCTGCACTCCTGTGCTGAGTTCTATGTTAAAACTCAGCCAGTCAGCATTTGTCACTGCAGCTGCCTAGTGTCACAACTCACTCCAGTGTTAATTGGCTTAAAGAATTATTAGTGCCATTCCCTAAGTAGTTGATGCATTTCCCAATTCCTAAAATTGTCCAGATAAAGTGCACCGAAGAAGAAAACAAAAGTCAGTAACACGGACATGAGAAGTAGTGTGAATAGAAGTGAATGAGATGAATGATTTTTTCCCTGTCGTACGCTTAACTAAAATACTCATGTGTATGAATGAAGCGAAAAGTTGTGTGTGACTTGATATAATCATGAGCAATAATTTGTACTCTAAACGTCATCAGGTAATATTGCTGTAGAACATTGTGTGATTTATGAAAATAAAATCTTATCCATAATGGAGTTGTAGTCTATCACAGTCCCCAAGTTTTATACTTATATCAAAAATACTTATGCGTTATGTGTCTCCTATTTGTTTCATTTTTGTCTTTCTCATTGCAGGTTGTCAGTCTTCGTAGACATTCTACAAGATGTCTGTCTGTTTTCGACATAGAACTTTACACAAATGTGCGACAGTTCAAGTCGCCACACTCCGTGTAGCACGCGAAGCAAGAGAAGAAAGTACAAGAAAAGTATAATAGAGACAGTAAGCAGAGGTGTGAGACAAAGGAGGAGTATTAACGAAGGACGCTGGAAAGAGCACTATGAGGAGCAGTTTAATTGGTCCACAACCACGCTCAACCTACAAGATGTCATACATGGTGTCTGCAAGCAGTCTTTCAATACATCCACCTCTCACAAAGCCTAGAGATGATTCAATTTGGGCCGTAGTACAATTATAACGCTATATTACTGACAATGACATGCAAGACTTGTACATGTTACTGTGACGTTTGTCTGTAATACAATGCTTGGGATAACAATTCGTCACTATCTCTTTTCATTCCGTTGATAGGTGGTATATATTAGAAAAAAAGCTGTCCCCGTATTAGTTCTCAAAAATACTTTCACTAAGTGCCCATACTTCTACTTAGTACGAAGTCCTACTCGTAGTCCATGAAATACTTCTTACTGCATTGGTAAATAACTATCAAACTATTATTATATGGAGTAGTGAGACAGAAGGCGTATGAAATTTAGATGTTCAGGTGTATTTGCATTTACAGACACAATATGTATGTACATGTTTAATTTCCAAACAAGGAAATTTTATAGGTTAATGTAGGGCTGATCGCAGTGAGTTAATTCATTACTGTATACATCTCGAGTAAGTGAAATGCTTCTATTCAATTTTCGGCGAAGCTGCAATATCTCCCTACAGGGTTTCTTCAATGCACTAACATAGTTAACAATACTTGGCACAGAGAAATCCAGCCAAAAGCACCTGTGACACAGTCGAATTACTTTTTCAACCAAAAGCGGTATTACTGATATTATTAAAAGTGTTATCTGCCTGTAAACTAAGGGATTCTAATTTAACGCGGCACCACACCCCATCAGGGTATTCTTTGTTTTGTAATTTTCTGAAGGTACGGGTAGAGTTCATGGGCTGATCACTTTTTAAATATGGAGGCGTCCCAACGAGTCATTTAGACGAAATGCGATAACCTACACACGCACCTTCAGATGTAGGCATGTGTTACTTCACGGGAACCCTGGGCCACATCGAGCAGACATTCCTTTAAATCTACCCTCCGTTGTACGTTCAATTATTGTTCGTATATATGTAATGACTTGGTGCATTTCCTAGTTTGTCTATAATTACGGAATGTACATAATTTTAAGGAACAGTTTAAATAGATTTTCTTAAGACTAGTGGTGTTCCCTCTCTATTTTTAACTGGTGTGACATTGATTGACACGATTAAAGGAATAGATTGTAACGTGGTGTTTTCTGTAGCTGCAAATCGTAGTTACCTAGTTTCGGATTGATATCATGCGTCTAATCCTATTAAACTATGGATATGGTTCTTCCTTCACGACGTCTAGAAGTCAGGAGCACACTGTCTTTGACAGACAACTTAATCTTTTTATCAAGAAACCCTTAGGGATATCAACCTTTACTTAGTAATTAAAAACTGGAAGTAAACGCCATGTTACTAAGTTATTAAAACGACAGAAGTATGAGTAAAATAGTAGTCGGATAAACTTATTATAGCGTAACTGAATAATGATAATCAATTAGCCTACCAATATGGCGTTTACTTTCAGTCTTAATTCAAAGACAAATTTAGTCACTAAATTAGTAGTTTCACAGGACTACACTACTCTTGTCTCCGACATGCTTTGCCCGATCGTCTTTTACTTCAAAATATGTGTATACTGGCCATTTGATGTTCCATATCCAGTTATACTGTTTTTCAGTTACAATGTCCCATCTATGTTCCTATCACTCAAAACCTCCCTTGAACCATCAACAAGTTACCATCACTTAACCTTAACTATTCTCATGTAAACGATGCTAATAACTTTATCACTTATGTGATATTTCGAATAATCAGTTTTCCCTTACGTGGACACCTGTTTCAATTTCAACGGATAGTTCTAACCTTTGACTACTGAATTAGTACGTTTCGTTATATACCATCCTTACAAAATGTAGGTACTGATAATAATTACTGCTAACAAATTTATCACGAGAACAAGAGTGTACTTCATATTGACGACAGTATAACTCAGAGGCGGACGTATCTTCTAAACGCACTACTCACTACAACACATGACCCTTATCTCCCTAACTCTGTAGCCCACAACATACTATAAAGTTAGTAGTCACTATTAACAAGTAATTTATATATATATATATATTCCTATCCATGTAGGACACACCAGTTGTACAGGCATGGATAAGTATTATTTACATTACATGAATTTAATTTAAGGTGAAATTGCAAGGTTGCTCTCTTCTCTGACATTTCTGTATGTGTACAATCTGATAGCTAGTCGTTCAATCGAGCACATTAAGAAATATAGAAATACTGTCTTCACATCAACAAAAAATCCAAGTATGTGTTTTATGGATTACAAATATTTGGGAAAATATAAAGCTTGTGTTCAATTCCCCCTACATAACTTTGTTGTGTATGGCATCGAATCTTGTTTTTGATTTATATCCCAATCGGGGATCAATTTAAAATAAGTGGTTTATTTGTATAATTTTGTCAGCATTTTCATCGTGAGTAACACCAGAAGTGGATTGTACTGAATGCAGATTAATATTGGCTATTGTCAAGTGGATTTGTCCTACTCCACCCACGTCAGCCAAAACCGTCATTTGTCGCTGAATGGTTGTTCCGTACGTGTAAGTTGATTAACATCTAGAAAGCCATTTAAGATCATGGATACTGCTTGTATAGGCTGCTGTATACAGCGTCTTGTTATGGTGACAGTGGATTTTATCAAGGATGCTGAGTCATTACTAGCCAACCCCTTGAAGAATGATATATGAGTAAATGATCTGGAATCCATCCAGCTTCATTTAAGTTTAAATGGAGGGGTGTTCGACCTCGACCAGAAGATTAATAGAAGAGTAGGCACAGCAGCAGAATACCGAAAACAGAAAGTGTCAGCTAACTCTCATAAACTGTCCATGTCCAGCTCTTACTACGGTGGACCTCACCCTGTCCCTGGAAGACTTTCAGAAACACTTCCTATTAACCAGTGCAAAAAACCAGAACACAGATTGGCGACTCTAGAATCCTTTATTCTTACGCCAATATGTAACCAACAATAAGGTTATTATACACAAGGTCTAAGAATAAATGTTATGACAATAAATCACGATAATACTTCTGATAGTTTTTTATCTTCCACCGAACAGCAAACGATGACTGCTGGATAGATGACTCCTGCGAAAAAAAATAAGGAGGAGTTGGGTTTAAGCAAACAACCATGAATTGATCGTCCAATCTTCAACTACATTGACAGAAAGTATATGAGCATGAAAAGAACATTAATTTTGTAGGCATTTATAAATGTTTATGTCGATTGTATATCGCAGTATAGTAAACATTTACCTATATTGTAGTTGTGTTTTCATGTATCTATGCGAAGTCTTTGAGTTTATTTAGTGTCATAATATTATATAGTAATGAGTCTGAGCGTTTTAGTGTTCTAATGACTGATGCGTTTTAGAAATAAGTCGTGCGTTCTGGTTGGGATAGTCACTGGGATGAAACAGTTTATATAGCAAGCTTTTTAAGGTTATAATAGAGTGATAGGTCCTATTTCTAGGGGTAAACTGTTCCAGTGTGTTCCGTACTAAGTCCTTTTATGCATCCATGCGACTAGTCTATTTATACTTTTTAGAGTGCTAAGGATATTGAAGCGCGTTTTTTAGGTGCTGTAGTAGACTAATAGTTGATTCGTTCTAGGAATAAATAGTTTATTAATATAATCAGTAGAGTGAAACAATCTGTACACAGAGCGTTTGAAACTTATAACCCAAGAGCAAGTTGTGACATCTGGGGCAGACTATTATATATTTCAAAATACATGACTGTGAATACGTTTTCACGGAGTGTTGACTTAAAGGAATGAGTTACCACTGTGGAAGTTTGGTTACGCAGATCGTAAGAGCTTTCCCGTGCAAGTTGTATGTCCCTGTTGTCTGAGAATGATATTTTGTGAAGGACCTTAAAGAAGAATATTAGGTTTATAATAAGTCGCCTTGTCCAAAGTGGGTCAAGTTTTAGGATCATGCACCGTGAGATGTAGTCTTTCTTACAATCGTAGCCAAGTAGTTTTGAGGTAAAATATCGTTGGATACTTTCCATTCTTAGCTTATCACGTGTGCGAGTGCTGCTTATAATAAATGGACAGTATTCTAGTAGTGGTCTAACGCATGTTTTGTACAGAATTAGCTTGGCTTCATTATCGTGAAAGTTCCTGAGTATGCATCCTCGACTTTCGAGTCTGTGATGACACTTGCTCAGAGAATGTTAAATCACTAGAGTACCTCAGGCCTAAGGCAACGACACTTTGGAGTCTGGTTAGCTTAGCAGATTGAAGCGTTAATTTCAGGTCAATTGAGGGTGCGCCGAAGCAGATCCAGCCATAGTTGTCCAGGTTAAATTGTAGATTCCATAAGGACGACCAAGCAGTCATTTTATCTAATTCCTTCTGCACTACATTCTCGAAGTACCCTAAGTCATCATCACATTGGAATGTATAAGCTACTTTTATCATACTTTGAACTGACACAATATATATATTTTGACTGGATACTAGTCAGCTACTATTGTAATGTATGTGTGTGTGTAGTCTTATCTGTCAGTTAGGTTTCTAATGTGGCTACCATTCTAGATAGTTCGCCATCACGGTGTACACATTCATTTGATGATATATTATATAGTTGGAGTCAATCGGTTGCAGGAAACCTTGCTTGACCTAGATTTCGTGCTAGTTGGCACACTCACCAGTCAGCAAGTCGTATCTGCAACCACATTGAAGGAACCTTTTGAGGAGATTCGAACCTGAGTCACCCAGTGTCGTTTGCAGTCGTTGCCACTAAGCTATTCTGGCTCGCGATTGACACAATATGCAAGATTTCATATATAGCAGCCATTAACCCTTCAATGCAAAAAGATTACGAAACATGATTTCATAGTTCTATTGTAATAATCGTAGCTTTTTTTCTTAAATCTGAATTTCTGACTAACATATAAAAAGGAGACTAGGTAGTATGTTAACATCACTTATGTAAGTAAGACAAGCTTTCATTATCCTAAAGTCTGTGTGGAGGTCAACATCACTCACCATCAAAAGTAAGATCCGGATTTTCAACTCCAATGTGAAGCCAGTCAGTGCTACTCACCATACGGATCAGATACTTGCACTGCTCACCATAAAGAGCATCTCAAACAAACTTCAGACCTTCATTAACAGTTGTCTTCACTCAATACCACTCAAGATCAGATGGCCGACCAGAAAAGATCACCAACAGGGTGGGATCTCTGGCAATCAACGAACCAACCAACACAGCAGGAACCGATTGTGAAACAAATAGGCAGGAAGAAATGGAGATGGATTGGCTAGTCATACTCTGAGGAAACCATCAAGTGAGTGACATCACTAGACAAGCCATCTCTCGAGTGGAACCAGGCCGAAAGGGAAGCGGGAGGCGAGTTGGTCGTAAGTGCATGGGTGAGGGTGACTTGGAGGAAGTCATGTGAGGAGGAGATGAAAGCATGTGGGCAGACTTGGAGCGGAGTGAAAAAGTTGGCAGAAAACAGAAGGCAATGGAGACTTGGGCGGCTGAAGCCCTATGTTCCCGTGCGTCGGTGGCACAGTGGTTAGAACTCTCGCCGACCATGCACATGGTCCGAGGTTCGATCCCCTGCCGACGCACACCTGATATCTATGGTCAGCCTGCAAAATTTGGGCTACCGATATCCACGCTGAAAATTCCATACTTGTACCAAAAATACAGTGTGGAATCAAGCTGTAATCAAAAAAATTAAAGGATATAATAATATTAATTTATATAACCGTCTTCTCGAACCCAATGTGTTGCTCACCAATACTATCAATCTGACGCTCATTACTTTCTAAAGCTCAGAAAGGTAACCGAAAGTGCATAAAACCATTTAAAGATGTAGCTTAATTGTCCCTATATGCTTGCTTTTTGTTTGTTTGCCTTAATATATACGACTTCAATTCAAAGGTGATAGATACACGAAGCGAAATAATTACGAAGAAATTAAGAAAATCAGTTCAAAGAACTTTAAATACTGGGGAACTACACGTCTTATACTCTACACAACCGATGTTGATTCCTCGACTGAAAAATGAAGTACCTAGACTAGCCACCTCCAATTATATCTACCCATTCAAATGCGCTTGTAGTGGAGCGAGTTATATTGACCGTTGCTCTGGGAACCTGAATTTTCGTGCTTGCTCGAAAACATCTCCCAGTATGGCTAAGTGTAAAGGTGTAGTGAAAACCATCAAGAGTTCGATATTAAACCATCTGTTCCAAACGGGCCGGTCACAAAGCTAGTCAGCATTGAAGAACCCTTCTCTATCATTATCTACAAGGGTACCAAATAAATTGCCAAAAGCATCCAAGTATCACATATTCCAGACTGCAGAGGCTATCGCAATTCGCGTGAAACAACCAGTGCTTTGTGTAAGGCAAAAGAAGCAAGTCCAGCTGGCTAGCCACTACTACTGCCCTGACCGGCCTTCAGTAGAGTCTATAAATTCATGAATTAGTATTATTATCTTTCCTAATTTTTCTGATATTCAGTGTGTATTGTTATCTTGATGCCATTGAACTGTAATCCACCGATATTATTTATGATTGATTCGACGTTATTTAAACAACAACATTAATGTTGTTCATAACACTAATTCACTCACTCTTATGTGCATCGGTGGCACAGTGGTCAGAACTCTCGTCGACCATATGCACATGGTCCACGGTCCGATTACCTGCCGACGCACACCTGATATACAATAGTAGGCCTGGAAAATTTTGGTCTACTGATATCCCATGCTGAAAATTGCATACTTCTACCAAGAAAGGTACTGTGTGGAATATCAAGCTGTAATCAAAAGTAAAATATAAAACTGTAGAACCTGATGATGAAGTTATCGAAAAGAGTATTATTTGTTCAACTCGAGCATAATACTGCTGATAGTGAGTAATTAAAGCAGACACATCTCTATCTAATTACAACTTTTTTCACACCTCAAAAAACTTCGAAACCGTTAAAACCAAAAATAATAATAATAATTAAGCCCATTTCGAACAATCTGATCACACTCCACGGACTTGTCATAGAAATGTATATGAAATTAATAAAGAGGTGAGAAAATAAACCACTTAGGTCAAGTTAAAAGGACATATTCAAGGTCAAAATAACAATGAAGACCACTAAACCAAATAGCAGAGGTAATAGTACATCTGCCCTGGTTGATATCAAAACAAAATTTACCAAGGAAGGCTGTGATGACAAATTGTTTTTGAACGCACAAAGGTGGCTTGAACTTTCTAATTGCTAGGGCTTCTACGGGCAGTCCTTTAGGGCCCCTTTTAGCAGATATTTATGTCGTACATTGAGAATTTATCGGAAGATTTAATCGAAAATGTGCCACTTTATAGAAGGTATGTAGATGATATCGTAGTCATCAGTGATAAGCCTTGTTCTGCCACCTCAATTTTAAATCGAATGAATGAAGTTCAGAATAGCATATCACTTACATCTGTAGAAGAGGAAGATAACTGTTTATCTTTCCTAGACATATTGCTTAGTCGACGGCTTGATGGGTCAATAAAAAGATCTATTTATAGAAAACCTAACTGGACAGGACAGTATCTTAATTACCATAGTTTCTGCCCTGTTCGGTACAAAATAGCCTTAGTAAGGTGCCTCTTCAGTAGAATCCGACGAATACGCACTGCAGACACGCTTGATGAAGAAGAAAGAATATTGACACAAACTCTGGTTGATAACAATTATCCACACAAGTTCATCAGGAGATATAAAGTAGTCAGAACACCAAGACGCACTCTCCAACTCGCCCCTAAGAAAGATGTGTACATCAAGCTACCCTGTATGGGATATCAAAGTAGCTTGATAACTAGACAAAGGCTGAACGCTGCTGTTAAAAAAACTTTTTATGCAGCTAATATCGTAATAATAGAGAATGTGAAGCCAGTGTATCTATCTAAGCCCTTCGAACATGCGAAAAATGACGTCATATCCCACTGTATTTACCAATTTGAATGTACGTGTGGACACACATACATAGGGAGGACTCATCGATCTCTGCAAGTAAGGACTGGCTTCAAAGTATATTCCAAAATGGCTCCAGAAACAAATGGAATCATCAGAACCTATTTGGTTTAGTGGTCTTCATTGTTATTTTGACCTTGAATATGTCCTTTTAACTTGACCTAAGTGGTTTATTTTCTCACCTCTTTATTAATTTCATATATATTTCTATGACAAGTCCGTGGAGTGTGATCAGATTGTTCGAAATATGTGTTGCGCAAATACATTACACACACGATTCAGAGAAATTACGTCTTCCTGCTTATTGCTTTGTCTAAATTCATAAATGGGAACTAATTGTTTTAAATAATTAAGCCACCGACGAACAGCAGGACGCTATAAAACGCACAGATAAAAAAGGCAAAAGAAAACTAGAGGTGCTTATTGTTAAATTATATTTTTTTTTAAACTTAGAATAAAGAGGAAAACACTGGCCTAGGAAAGTAAATTCTTGATTTCAAAACTACTTCGAAAAGAGAGAAAGAAAGAAAGACAAAAACCATGAAAGCACGAGAAAGGTTAAAAGAAGTATATATATATATATATGGTTTCTGGCAAGTAAAAGGGGATAGAAATGGATAAGAAAAAAAATGAAGGGGATAAAAAGATCAAGATCAAATTTGAAGTCGTCAGTCTACTCTACACACGACACGACTTCCCCCCCACCCCCCAGGAAGAGATAAAGAAAAAGAAAAAAGAAGAAGAATATGCATACAAAATAGAAAAATAAATTAAAAATATATACACAGTGAATCTGTGTGAATGAAAGTCGATACGAAAGTGGATATTGATAAATACACCATTGAACAAAAGAAGGAGAATAGGGATAGAGGAAAAAATCATATATATATATTTAAAGGGGGAATGGGGTGGGTAGGACTTCTTAACCACGAAACCAGTTGAATTGACTTATTCTTTTTATGAGATTGCAATGGTAACATTTTCAGGGACCATAGTACTCTGTAAAAACAAACATGATATGTACATGTGAGAGAAAAAAAATTTAGGACTTAATCATGAACTGACATTAGCTAGAGAACCATTGGAAAACCTGGGAGTACTGGACAACTGTTTCGTCCTAGTTTGAGACTCTTCAGCAGTACGCACCCACCGGGAATAAATAAGTAAATAAAGATATGAAAAGAAAAAGAGGCAGTTGTCGAGTTGTGGTTGGTTATAACACCCTTGTGACACACAATTTTATTGATGAATAGAGTCAAACAGAAACCTATAGAGTGAATAACTCACATGTACAACAGATATAAGTTATACAAATCAGTGTGTTCCTACAAAATTCACTCACACTTAGACATGATGGAGAAGATTTTTGTAGCTCAGGTGGATGATTTCGATGTGGTTGTGTTCTCTGTTGTGAGCTGGATAGTTAATTTGCGAAGCTTTCATCATTGCCCTACTACTTACTAGGCAACATCTCCCTTCAGCGTAAAATGAAGTATGAAAGCTTCACAAATTAACTATCCAGCTTAGAGAACAAAACTACACCGAAATTCACTCACTATTACACACAACATTGTATCGTGGTGTACCTGGATAAGAGAGAATTTAGCCTAGATTATAAACCCAGGATGATTACTACACACACACTAAACACAGCAGTGGTATGCTTTATGACTGAATACCTATACAATACTGAATACCAGCACCAATCACCATCAATCAACGGGAGAGATTTAACAGAGGTTACTTCCTTCACTTATTCTAAAAAAAGGCATAACTTTCGACTACAGGAATTCAGAACTGATGAAGATGTCAAAGTTAGCCAGCCAGCCAGAATCGGAAAGGCAAGAGATATGTACACTCCTTCATCAAACTGAAACCAGTTAGGAAGTCCTTCTGCACTCCACCTACCTCAGCAACACAAGGAACAAAATCCGAATTTTCAACACTGTGGTCAAGTCGGTCCTTCTATACGGGTCAAGCAAAGCCATTGCAGACCTTTACCAATAGCTGCCTTTACTTGATTACTGAAGATCAATCACATGGTCAGAAAGAATTAGCAACAAAAAACTCTGACTGGCTGGCTGCAAACCAACGAAAAGCCGATGAGTCAACAAATATGTAGGAGAAAAAGAAGGTGGGTTGGGCATATGTTGAGGAGGCCGTCGAAAAATGACATCGTGTACAATGCAGGCCATCGTTTGAGTGTAACCCAAATGAAAAGCGACGAGGTGGTCGTCGGTGTGTGTGGATAACATGGTGGAGATAGTGTGGTGAGGAGATGGTAGATTGTAGGCAATCCTGTGGTTAGAAAGCTGAAGAGAATGGCAGAAAACAGTAGAAAGTGGAGATGTTTAGTTGAAGCCATATGTTCCACTCAGAACCCAAAGGAACAATAATTAAATAATGATTTATGTCTGAATACTATGCAAGTGCCAATACGGGGCGAGTAACGCAGAGTGAATACTGCATACTTTAGGCAAATATTTTTAGCTTTCAAGTATTGGTTTTGTAGGGATTTCGTTTGATTGTATGCAGGATTTCACCATGAGCTGACATCAGTTGGAGAACCACTGGAAAACCTGGGAGTAATGGACAGCTGTTTCGTCCTAGTTTGGGACTCTTCATCAGTACGCACCCACCGGGGTTCGAACCCAGCACCTTCTGGTTACAAGGTGAGCTCGTAGACCATTGAGCCACTGGGACCCGATCCAATGGTTCTTGAATTCTAACTTCTGCTAGTTCACGACATAGAGTTCACGCATAAGCGATGATGAATCGCATATGCACCCTCTAAGTTAGCAAAGTAGAATGTATTCAACTGCTACATAAACATAAGAGTAAAGGTAGTTTAAATAAGGGTGAAATGTATCCAATAAAAGACGAAGCAACAGATTTGAAAAAAAAGGAAAATCAAAGGTGTTATTTCATTATTAGCACATACTGATTTCAAAGTCATTCATCAACCTTACTCAACAGCTGTACGACGACGGTACTTGTCAAGTGATCCACAACGGAAAACTCAGCGAGGCGTTTGGAGTAAACACAGGAATCAGACAAGGGTGCTCATTATCACCAATGAATGATATTCCTAATTGTGGTGGACTGGATTATGCATCAGACAGTGAGTGGGAAACGAGAAGATAGGGATTTCCTGGACCGACGTGAAGAACCTAGAAGACCTGGATTTCGCGAGTGGATAATTTATGTTTGATGTCACACAAAATCAAAGACTTACAAGCAAAAACCGACCGAAAAACTGGTCGAAGAAGCAGCCGGCGAAGACAGGACTCCATGTGAACATAGACAAGACGGAAGTTATGGAAATAACCAACCACCACCAACAATAACAACGACAGCAGAAACATCCAGCGTCAATCACCATCAACGGGAGGGATTGGAACGAGGTTACTTCATTCACTCACCTATCTAGGGAGCATTGTCTCAACTATAGGAAGTCGGAAAGGACGAGGATGTCAAATCGAGCGAGAATCGGGAAGGCGAGAGACACATACTTTCATCAACCTGAAACCAATCTGGAAATCTTCGTCACTCAGCATCAACAACAAAAATAATCCAGGTGAGTGCGTACTGATGAAGAGTCCCAAACTGGGACGAAACAGCTGTTCAGTATTTCCAGGTTCTCCAATGGTTCTCTAACTAATGTCAGCTAATGATAAAATCCTGAAACCAATCACATCCCTACAAACCAACATTTGAACAGAATAATAATCAATAAAAACATCCAGTCAGTCAGTCCTTCTATACGGATCAGAAACTTGGCGGGTGGGTCACAAAGAATATTTCCACCAACAGCCTGTTGCTGACCTTCATCAACAACTAACTGTCTTCTCTGGCTCTATATTGGAGATCAGATGGCCGGACCGGAAAGAATCACCAACTATTGGAAACTATGGGAACAAACAAAACAAAACAAGAACCAATCACCAACCAACTGTCTGTCTGTCTGTTTTCGACATAGAACTTTGCACAAATGTGCGGAAGTTCAAGTCGCCACATTCCGTGTAGCACGCGAAGCAAGAGAAGAAAGTACAAGAAAAGCATACTAGAAACAGTGAGCAGAGGTGTGAGACAAAGGATTAATAAAGAAATACAAAACAGTTTCATTGAAGATCATAAGTCACAGGGAGTGGATGCAGGAGAAAGTGGAGATGGATTGGACAGTCGCTCGCTGAGGAGGCCGCCGCTGGGTGACATTACGCGTCAGGCCATTGCTCGAGTGGAACCAGGCCGAAAGGGAAGCGGCGTGTAGGACGCCAGTGCAAGGGTGACATGGAGATCGTGTGTGTGAAGAGGAGTTGAAAGAGTATGGACTAACATGGATGGATGCAGGTGAAAAGTACAGCAGAAGGAAGACAGAACTGGCAAGTGGAGACGTGCAGTTGAGAAGCCCTATGTTCCACTAGGAAACCAAAGGAACAACAATAATGATAATGCTGATGTCAAAGTCATTCATAATATCATAACACCATAGAGATTGTTTACCACACGTTGTAGAAACTGTTTAGGGGAGGGAGATTCTATCAGGGATTCCTGATATATATTATTAATATTATTTTAATGATATAGAAATGTTGGAAAAAAAAGTAGACTCAGATAGAAAACGCCTTAGTTATTTATATACCTGTAAATCTGATTCAGTTTCTATTAATCCACTAATTTGAAGTAGCTGGTATTGAGGTTGAACTAACTGTGTTATATCCACACGCATACTACCTAAAACATCCATCCAATGATACGGTCCAAAGGAGAGACGAGATAAATCTGTATTGGGACTAGATACAGAATAATCTGCTGCTTTAATAATTTGACGCATAGCATCAGGCGGTACATCGGGATCGAGAACAATGAGAGCTAAGGGTTTTTCATTGTCATCCACCTAGAAAATTATAATAAATAAATACATAAAACATCATTTATAACTGTGAATACTTCAAAAATTCGACTGATGAGAAATGAGTGTTATATATATATATATATATATATATATATAATGCATGTTGTGAATATTCATTTCATAAGGTTTATGACTACAAAGACAACACTATATAGTCATGATTAAATCACCTTTTAAAAACAAAATTAGATCCACTTGACATTATTCTCACTGACGCGTACTACTTAATATTTTGAATCCGGAATTACTCTACTGTGGGACTGAAATTAGCTACATACATTGGGCAGGTGTGTTTAGGATTTTACTGGAACAACTGGATAGTCGATTTGCCGTAGATCTCATTAATTTATGAAGATCATTACATCAGTGAAATGTATAACCAGGGAAAGACGTAACTACTTGGTTCTAAATCCTCAGATATAAAAACGCTTGATGCATAATAATGCGTTTCATCATAGATGTAATAGTGGAATTAACTCCATTTGCTGACTTCAGCGACTTAGGGATTGATTTGTTACCAGGGTCTTAGAATATGCCAATGACACAGTCTTCCTGGGTGAAGGTAGTGATAAAATATGGAGTTTTCTGGACGCCTTGAGCTGCAATCTTCGAATGTTTGGCATGCGATTCTCTCGTCCTGTCAAATCTAATATGATGCTACACGAATGACTGGACTACATTGACTCCTAGCTTAGAAATAGGGAGTGAAGTGGTTTGTGGAGTGCGTTGATAGCTTCACTTATTCGAGAAGTTGGATCACCCGACGCCAACGGGTTGATCGCTGACGAAATCTCACCACGGATACAGAAGGCTGGCTTCGCCTATTCCAGTTTACGCCACCTCTGACTTATTAGACATGATATCCAGCTGCCTGTAGACTAAAGGGCGGGTGTACTGTTCAGCAGCATTTCACTCCATCCTCCTTTATGGCTGGCTGTGTGTGGAAGACATGAAAAGGCTGGCTAGCTTTATTTGATCATAGGTGCCTGCGTTCTATCTCCCGTGCTAAGTGGTATAATAGGGTAAGCAATATTGAGGTTAGGCATCGTTCCAGTGCTAAGTAAAGCTGGAGGGGAAATCAATTGATGAGGCTGTGAAGCTACATCGACTGAGATGGTTAGGACATGTGTTATGTATGCCTAACCATTGCCTTCATCGACGGTGATGTTAGCTGACATAGGAGTCAGGTTGGAAAACAGTTAACTAGTGGTGGTCAAACCAAAACATGGCCTCATTAGTCAATGAAATCCACAACAGCTGGGGGTAAGCCATTTAGGGTGATGAAGACTTCCTGGTTGGTATTCCTGGGACAGCGAAAACCAATGGTAGCTTGCTTTGTGTGCTACATGGAGTGTGGCAACTCGAATAGCGCTGCACTTTTGTTCAAAGTTCTATGCTGAAATCAGTCAGTTAGTTATATACTAAGTTTAATATAAGCCAAGTAGAAACTTTGAAAATGTCCTTATCCATATGAAATACTACCGCCATTAATAAACATCTGCAAACTTGTTATACCTTCTTCTTTTTTTTATATATTTTTGATTTACAGCTTGATTCCACACTGTATTTTTGGTACAAGTATGGAATTTTCAGCATGGACAAATTCTACAGCAACAAACGACTAATTCACTAACTAACTAACTAACTGACTACATATTTTACAGTTGTAAGAAATCATCCATTTACTCACGATTATTCGATTTGTTCATTTAAGTTCACTATAAGACATGTATTATAAAGCCTAGATTCGTTTTATTATTATTATTATTAATAATAATGATTTACTTTATTCCAAAAACAGTACTTGTGATACAGAACGGAATTTTCAGCATTAATCACAATATTGCATCTAATTTCCTCAAATTATAAATAAAATTAATCACACAGAAAATTTTCCACATTTACAACAGAGGAAGTGTCAAAAACATGCAGCATATAAAATGGAAATAGCAATAATCATGATAACAGCTAGGGTAGTAATAATAATGATAATAATAATACAAGTGAAAATTCCCGTTGGCTTGTGTCACACAGTATTGGCAATGTGGTATAGAAATCCTAACATGTTTAAAAATATTGAATATAATGTTCTCTTTACATGATATGGTGAAGGGAAAAACAAAGATTACAGCCGTCATGGAGATAAGTTGGTGTTTGCAATTATGAGAGTAAAACAAACAAAGAAGCAACAGGACCATAAATATAATAGAAATAATAAAAGTAAAACTTGAAGGTATATAAGGATGGATGGAGGAAATTGTTTATTTACTAGATGAAAAAAGGTTAGTTAATTCTTGCCTGACACTATTTTCATCACATTAAATACGTGCCAAGTACGGTATCATAGAACTCTTATACTTAGACGTGCGAGCATACAGTTTTCTGAAGTTACTCCTTGTTCTACCTGAGGGTATGCAAGGTGAAAACTGTCTGTCTGTTTTCGACATAGAACTTTGCACAAATGTGCGGAAGTTCAAGTCGCCACATTCCGTGTAGCACGCGAAGCAAGAGAAGAAAGTACAAGAAAAGCATAATAGAAACAGTGAGCAGAGGTGTGAGACAAAGGAGTAATAAAGAAATACAAAACAGTTTCATTGAAGATCATAAGTCACAGGGAGTGGATGCATCTGCGCCACTGAGAACGATTTTGAGCCATGTCACCAATTGTTTCCAACCATAGATTTTTACCGTCCCGAGGACCCCAGCCTGGAAGTCTACACCTTCCTACGTGGCTTAGACCAACTGTTGTGGATTTCATTGACTGATGCCAAGTTTTTGTTTGACCGCCGCTAGCTTTTTTCCAGCCTGACCCTATATCCGCTAACATAGCTCGTCGAGGGAGGCGATGGCTTGGCATACGTAACACATGTCCTAACCATCTCAGTCTTTGTAGCTTCACGACTTCGTCGATTGATTTCCCCTGTTTACCTAGAACTCTACGCCTAACCTCCATGTTGCTCACCTTATTATGCCACTTTACACGGGAAATAGAACGCAGGCACCTATGATCAAAGACAGCAGCTAGTCTTTTCATGTCTTCCACTCTCAGTGGCCAGGTCTCACAACCATAAAGGAGGACGGAGCGGACTGATGAGCAGTACACCCGCCCTTTGGTCGATAGTCGAACATCTCGTCTACGCCAGAGTCGGCGTAAACTAACAAATGCGAAACGAGCCCCTTGTATTCGTGCTGAGATTTCGTCAGAGATCAGCCCGTTGGGGCTGATGGTACTTCCCAAATAAGTGAAGCGGTCAACGTGCTCTACCACTTCACTTCCTATTTTTAAACTAGGCGTCGATGTAGTCCAGTCCTGTAACATCATCTTGCATTTGGCGGGAGCGAATCGCATGCCAAACATTCGTAGATTGCGGCTCAAGGTGTTTAGAAGACTCTGCATTTCGTCAGCGTCTTCGCCTAGAAGGACTATATCGTCTGCATATTCCAAGTCAACGAGATTATTCCCCGGTAGCAAGTCAATCCCTGAGTCGCTGAAGTCACCTAGGGTTAAGTCCATTAACACATCTATGATGAAGTTGAATAGAAAAGGAGATAATGGGCATCCTTGACGGACACCACTGGTCGTCATCAGTTCAGATGACAGCTCGCCGTAAGCCCTCACCTGGCTGTATGAGTACGAGTAGAGTGCCTTAATCAGTGCAATATATTTTCTCGGAATTCCCTTTACAGCCAAGCATCTCCAGAGAACTTCCCGATCGACAGAGTCGAATGCTGCCTTTAGGTCAAGAAATATAATGACTGTTGGACGCCGGTAGGAATGCCTATGTTCTAGAATCTGTCGGAGGGTGAAGATATGATCAATACACCCTCTTCCTGGTCTAAAGCCTGCCTGGCTCTCTCGTGTTTGTGCTTCCCGAGCACCACTCAGTCTACGCATGATTATTGAGCCTAAGACTTTAGATACTATATTAGTCAAGCTAATCCCTCTGTGATTATCACAGGAAGACTTGTCTCCCTTCTTGTATATGGGGATAATCAGTGACTTACACCAACCCGATGGGACTTCTTCTGATTCCCAGACGCTGCCTAGTACCTCAGTTAATCCGGACAGTAAGCTGTCTCCACCGTACTTAAATACCTCTGGAGTCATTCCATCAGGTCCCGCTGCTTTGCCTAGTTTCAGATTGGTGACAGCTTTAGTAACCTCAGTTAGTGACGGAGGACCTGTGTCTATATCCCATTCAGGGAGGTGTTGGATGCTCGGAAGGTTGAGCGTGGCTGTGGGCAAATTAAACTGCTCCTCATAATGCTCTTTCCAACGATCCAGTCGTCTATCCTGGGAGCTAATTATAGTGCCATTTTTTTCCGAGATTGTCTCACTAATGATTTGTCTTCTCCCACCCGTTTCCCTGATGAGTCCAAAGAGTTGCCTGGTGTTGCCTATCCTCAAAGCTTTCTCCATCTCTTTGGCTTTTGTCGCCCACCACTGTTCACGGTCCTTGCGGAGACTTTTCGTAAGTTTCCTCTTGTGCAGCTTTCGCTCCTCATTGAATTCGGAGCTCGCCGGAATAAGTCTTCTAGCATCTATCAGTTCGGATGAGGCGGTGGAGATCCAGTGGTTTTTACTCACCTTTGGGTTTACCTTATTCACAGCTTTTACAGCTGTATCTATGGCTGCCTGGATATTTTTCCAAGCTTCTTCAGGGTGAGCACAGCTGTCGAACACAGATATGTGTTTAGCTAGTTCTTCCTCAAATACGGATTTAGTTTCCTGATCGAGCTGGGGACGTGATGGTTTTACCGCCAGCTGTTTCCTACGTCCGTTCAGTCGTAAGCACACCCGAGCGCGGACCAGTGCATGGTCGGTATCTACGCACGTGTTCCAGAAGGAGCGACAATCTCCTACCGACCCACGCCAACGATAGCTTATTGCTATGTGGTCTATTTGTGTCCAGCGTTGGTTTGATGAAGGGGGTCTCCAAGTCAAACAGTGTCTCTCCTTGTGTTTAAAGTTAGTGCTTACAAGAAACAAATGATTATCAGAGCAGAACTGTAGGAGACGGTCACCGTTGTCGGTTCGCTGGCACGGAACTCCATAGGTGCCACCGACATCCTTCTCAGATTGACACAATTTCCCTACTTGAGCGTTAAAGTCACCAGCTAGAACGACTATGTCTGAGCGTTTAGCCTTTCCACCAAACTAGACAGCTTTTGGTAGAACTCATCCTTCGTTTCATCTGAACTGCAGTCAGTGGGGGCGTAGGCGGAGATTACGAAAAGGCATCGGCGAGTAGTGCAGTCCTTCCTCCTTCTTACTGATCCGTTCAGGCGGACAGCACACATTCGGCTATCTACCGGGATCCAGTCAAGCAATGTCTTTTCTGCCCTAGTACTCAAAGCTATCCCTACGCCAGCTAATCCTCGTGAACTAGCTGTGGCATCTCCTGACACCCTCAAGGTGAATTTTGCAGATTCAACCTGTTGGCCAGGTGGGGTTAGGTGAATAACCACACTTGGGTCTTGTATGCGTGTTTCTGAAACACAGCATACATCAATGGCTCGTGATGCCAGGGTCTTGGCTAGTGATGCTTGTTGTCCTATTTGGCAAAGTGTCCTAACATTAAGAGCTCCTATATGAAATTGGTGGCGCGGCTTTAAGAGGCTGTCGGTGGTGGTTTTTTGGCTTCCATCGTTTTTAGTGGACGCAGAGTGGAGAGGAAGTGGAGAGCTATCAAGTCGAGGAGTTGCATCAGTGGAAGGAAGGCAAGATGATAGAGATGAAGATGAAGACAAAGATGAGTGAGTAATAGAGAGGTTTCGTGTGCATTTCGGATTGTGAGGGCGATTGTTACTTCCCGGCTGCCCACACCGTGGAAGTTGGTTGCGTGACCGCAGAGCCCAGGGGACAACTGCTTGAGGCCGGTCACACGCGGCCTGTTTTTGTTTGTTCTCTTTTGTTTGGTGTGTCTCAGTAGCATATTTATCACTCCTGCCCTGTGACACGGCAGCAGGAAGCGCGGTCGTTGTTAATCCGGGCCACGGCCGATCCGGCATGAAATTTTGTGGTTTTGTATTGGTCATGATGTTGGATTGGGTAGCTGCTTTTTGTTTAACCGCTATCCAAACAACCTGCCTGGCATGGTAGAACCTCAAGAGACATAAGTCTCAGCCAGTATAGCTTGATTAGGTCATTGCGGTGTTCAAGCCCGACCACCACGTCAAGGTAGCAGCTTTCGGTCGGGGGTGAAAACTGAGGGAGGGTAAAGTGGATGCTCCAAGTCAGACAAAATCCCTCTAGCAAATCTATTGCACGAAGTGAAGTGCCTATTGACAACGACGTTAACTATGTGGTCCACTGGGACACCACTCACCCCACTGACAGTCTTCAGCATTCTACGAATTGTGACATAGTCTTTTTTACGCAAACCAGGAAAGAATAAGGGTGAACAATAAAGAAGAATAGGTAGGATGCAAGAGTTTATGAACTGTAAGAGGAGGGGTTGAGTTATACCTGAGTGTCTTAACTTCTTAATGTAAAATGTCAGGCGGAATATTTCACCGGAGATTGCTAAGACATGGGAAGACCAGGAGAGATCAGAAGAGAGAATAAGTCCAAGATACTTAATTTCTGATGTAATTCCTATATCAGTGTCGTCAATTTTACAATTGTCATGAGAATCGATGACTTCTTCTAAATGTCTTTTACATCTTAAGCTGAAATTAACAGTTTCACATTTAGAAGGATTCAGTTTAAGACCGTTAAACTCAGACCATTTGCTGACTCCCGATAGAAAACTATTCATTTTGGTACAATCAGCTGGGAGTTAACAGCCATTGAAACAGTTAAATCATCAGCGTACTTCACAAAGTTTATTTCATCAAACGCACACCTGATATCTACGGTCGGTCTGCAAAATTTTGGGCTACCGATATCCATGCTGAAAATTCCATACTTGTACCAAAATACAGTGTGGAATCAAGTTGTAAATGAAAAAAGTCATGCAAGAAGAAAGAAAAAAGAAAAGGAGAAAGGACAGCGCCTTGAGGGACACCAGCTTCAGTAGGCGATGAAGTGGAAGACTTCCCTTTATACACGGTGTACTGCTTTCTTTCTGAGAAATAGGAATGTAACCAGTTAACAGCCCAATATTCTGTTGGACTAGCAGCAAATTTATTTAATAAGATGTCCCTAGGGACTGAATCAAAAGCAGATGTATAGTCTAGGAATGCAACACGTACAAATTTAGCCCCCTTGCCTAGACTGGAAGCAATGTTATGATATAAGACGGCAGCCGCATCTAAAGTGCTTCTACTGTGCTTATAGGCAAATTGTTTAGGGTCATAAAAGGATTTAAGCGAAGGTACAAGACTAAGTAAAAGTAATTTCTCCATAGTTTTCAAAAAAGGAGAGGTGATAGCAATGGATCTAAATTTGACACATGCTCCAGTAGATGATTTAGGTATGGGTACAACTTAAATAGGAATAAATACGTTTTTAAAAAAGTCATCAAACAAAAATAAATGCTTACTTCAACACCAATTACTATGCGACTATGACCTTCATGTTGTAAAAGCATTGGTAATGTTGCAGGCTATTTTAAATATAGGTTAAAAAAACATACAGTGAAGTTAACGATAGTAGGAAAATTGTCAATACACAACAATGAAGTATATATACATATATAGTTGTGTATCATTATTACTGTTTCCTGTAGTTCCTAGGGGAACATAGGGCTAAAAGCCGTACGTCTCCACTGCGTCTACTTGCCCGCCAACGTTTTCGCCTAACTCTACGTCTGTCCACATGCCTTCATTCATCTCCCCTTCCCATCACCTCCCCTATCTCACACACTCGCCGCCTTCCATTCGGGTTTCACTCGAGCGATAGCCTAGAGTGTGTGATGTCACCCACTGTGATGGTTGGTTTTCTCACAGTATGGCCACAATCCAAAACACCTATATATATATATATATATATATATATATATATATATATATATATATATATATATATATATATTGCACAATTGCTTCCTGCTGGGTTGGTTCTTTCATTCCCCAGAGATGATCACTCACACTACTGCTGATCTTTTCTGGCCAGCCATCTAATCTTGAGTAGTATATTCAGCGAAGACAGCTGTTGATAAAAGTGTGCGGTGTTTGTTTGAGGTACCCTCTTCATGACATACCAAGTCTCTTATCCATAAAGTAACACTGAATTCACATTGGAGTTGAAAATCTGGATCTTATTTTTCATGCTGAATGATGTTGATCTTCACACAGACTTGAGAGTAATGAAAGCTTGCCTTGCTTACCTGATGTTCCTCGCTTTGATATCCTTATCAGTTGCGTCCGCCTGTAATTGAAACAATACTTACCAGGTAGGTCGGTAGGTAAAAGAGGTTGCTTCTTTCAAATTTCTTCCATTTATTCTGATTATTGTCTGCTGTTGTGGGTGATGGCCAGGAGTCTTCATCACCTCTGTTTTCTCTATGTCCACGTGAAGTCCTATATTCTGTGGATGCTTGTTCTGCCAACTTTTAGCTTTTCATCACTTGCATATCTTCCAGTGTATGGGAAATCACTCATAAATATTATCGGCGAAATCCATATCCTCCAAGCACTTCTTTAGTGTCGGTGGTCAACCCTATGCCTGTCTCCTCGTTGTCCACTGTCTGATGCATTATCCAGTCTACCGCCCACAATTAGGGAAATCTTTGTATACACTATAGCTGTGAACTCATTGACACCCAGTTACAATTTTAGCACTTTCATTTCAGTACTTTTATGTCTAGTTTCGCACAGTGTATGTATACAAGTGGGGTGATTACAGCTCAAAGGTAACCATTGAGTTTATTACGTATAATAAAAGTGTGTTGTTTGAAATTTAAGGTGAAATAAGCCAAACGGATCAATAGTCATTGAAAAGGATTTGGCCGTAATTATCATCCATATGAGAACGCAATCGACAGCGTTGATCGTGAAGTAATTTGAAAATCACTCGAGTACTACAGCGTACCCCAAATATTCATCAACCTTACTCAACAGCTGTACGACGACGGTACTTTTCAAGTGATCCACAACGGAAAACTCAGCGAGGCGTTTGGAGTAAACACAGGAATCAGACAAGGGTGCTCATTATCACCAATGAATGATATTCCTAATTGTGGTGGACTGGATTATGCATCAGACAGTGAGTGGGAAACGAGAAGATAGGGATTTCCTGGACCGACGTGAAGAACCCAGAAGACCTGGATTTCGCGAGTGGATAATTTATGTTTGATGTCACACAAAATCAAAGACTTACAAGCAAAAACCGACCGAAAAACTGGTCGAAGAAGCAGCCGGCGAAGACAGGACTCCATGTGAACATAGACAAGACGGAAGTTATGGAAATAACCAACCACCACCAACAATAACAACGACAGCAGAAACATCCAGCGTCAATCACCATCAACGGGAGGGATTGGAACGAGGTTACTTCATTCACTCACCTATCTAGGGAGCATTGTCTCAACTATAGGAAGTCGGAAAGGACGAGGATGTCAAATCAAGCGAGAATCGGGAAGGCGAGAGACACATACATTCATCAACCTGAAACCAATCTGGAAATCTTCGTCACTCAGCATCAGCAAGAAAATTCGCTCGGATTTTCAATACAAACGTCAAGTCAGTCAGTCCTTCTATACGGATCAGAAACTTGGCGGGTGGGTCACAAAGAATATTTCCACCAACAGCCTGTTGCTGACCTTCATCAACAACTAACTGTCTTCTCTGGCTCTATATTGGAGATCAGATGGCCGGACCGGAAAGAATCACCAACTATTGGAAACTATGGGAACAAACAAAACAAAACAAGAACCAATCACCAACCAACAAATATGCAGGAGAAAGTGGAGATGGATTGGACAGTCGCTCGCTGAGGAGGCCGCCGCTGGGTGACATCACGCGTCAGGCCATTGCTCGAGTGGAACCAGGCCGAAAGGGAAACAGCGTGTGGGACATCAGTTCGAGGGTGACATGGAGGAGATCGTGTGTGTGAAGAGGAGTTGAAACAGTATGGACTAACATGGATGGATGCAGGTGAAAAGTACAGCAGAAGACAGAAGCAAATGGAGACGTACAGTTGAAGCCCTATGTTCCGTTAGGAACCCAAGGGAACAATAATAATAATAACTTTTCATTGGAATCGGTCAAGTTTATGGTCAAATTTTTCTCAACGCTGAATATTTAGTCATCTAACCGGTACCAAACAAAATGGACAAAAAGATCCAGGTATCGTACACTGCAAACATTCATTATGACCATATATAACTGTAGAACCTGATGATGCAGTTATTCAATGGGGATATTCTTTGTTCAGTAATCAATTTTTACGAGAGAGTATTCGTAGATTACAATTACCTTGTAAAAAAATGAACCGGTTAACAACAATAAAGGATGAAAGAGTCACACAAACCTTATCTGTCCTTATCCCCATATGATTATGAGAATGTTAATAAAGCCTACTGTGATTAGCACAGTGTAACGTGCCACCATGTTGAGACTACTGTATGTGACAATGTTTGCTTGTGTATTGAAGTACTGAAAGCGAAGAAGACTTCATTTGGTCAACAACACTATTATTTTTCAATTTTATTCCTTTACGTTCCGAGTGGGATAGATGGCTTCAAGCTACAGCTTTAAAGTTGCGGTAGCAGTGACATTATTTTTTTTACGAAGTAGGGATATACTGGCATCACACCCAATACTCCCTCTTAACTGGTCTTACTAAAGGCCTAGCGAGGTTTAGGAGTGCGTCGACCGAGGACTGAACCTCATGACCACACCACCAATTGCCGTAGTTTGGCGAGCGTTCTACCTCTAAACTACCTATTTCAACACTATTATAGTTAGAATAAAAATTATGCCTGTTTCTCAGAATGGTATCTGCAGGCAAACTGTGTACAACTAACACAAAAAACGGCATAACTACCGCAGGGAGTAATAGACAGTAAATCATATAACTTGCATAAACTAATTCGATGTTATAGAAACACTTTTATCCTATTAGTTACAGGATTTTATCATGAACTGACATTGGTTAGAGAATCATTGAAAAATCTGCACGCAGTACTGGACAGCTGTTCCATCCTAGTTTGGGACTCTTCATCAGTATGCACCAACCACGAGGGGGGGAGGTTCAAACCCGGGACCATCTGGTTACAAGGCGAGCTAGCTCGTAGACCATTAAGCCACTGGGACCCGATCCAATGGCCCATGAATTCCACCAACTTCTGCCAATTCACGATATAGCGCAACTGCTAGCCAATGTCTTCGGCGGCGAGTATTTGTCCTCACACCCATCCCCACTTCGAAGGAGTCCATAAGTTTCCCGTTGTGGATTACTTGTCATGCAGCATTGTTGTATAACTTTTAGATGAGATGAGATGTATAATTATCGATGGGACCCCTTGTTAGTAGCGAAGTAGTTTCCAAATCACCTCTCGGTCGACGCTGCAATGTCGAAGGCCTTTTCAAAGTCGATGAAGTTGAGTGAGGTAGAGAGGTGACTTCCATTCCAAGCTTTTTTCTATGATGATCCTTAGTGTGGCGATTTGATCAATACATGACTTGTTTCTCCTGAATCCAGCTTGTTCTGGTCGAAGTTTTTCATCCAGGTTGGCTTGTTTGATTCTCTCCAGGATGATACGGCTTAGTATTTCGCTTGGGATGGACAGGAACATAATTCCACGGCAGTTCTTGCGTTGACTTAAGTCTCCTTTCTTTGGTAGTTTGAATTCAAGAAATATATATCATCTAAGAATTGTGTACAGACCTTACCTCAATCACTACTACTTCTCATTTGGTGTTGAATTTAATGTTTTTTTTCAATTCCACATTCAATAACACATTCTCTATACACACACAGCTTAACTGTTATCCGCCCGCACTATACATCTTTCTAAATAGGTTTCACTACTCTTCAATGAGAAAGCATTAGATCTATCAAAACAGGGGATATTTATTACCTGACGCTGAAACCTTACAGATTCCACGCGGAAAATCTTGTATTGTCTGTAATACAACAAAACCTTGTCGTCCAATTCGTGTTTATTATGCAAAATATACGAAATTAGCTTTTCGTCACATTTTTGATTCTACATTCCCTACTGTAACACATAAAACGTAGATATCATGCGCATTACTCGATTCTTTTGATTACAAAGTTAACAAGCTACATACATACATGTATCTCGGTTACGTTATGATAAGAATAGCAGTATACGAATGATGGCAAATGTTTATAGTTTGAAAAAATGGATTTTTAATAAATCTCCCTATTTTTATTATTATAATTTCCTTTAATTCCCTAGAGGAACATAGGGCTTCAGCCGCCCAAGTCTCCATTGCCTTCTGTTTCCTGACAACTTTTTCACCCCGCTCCAAGTCCGCCCACATGCTTTCATCTCCTCCTCACATTACCTCTCCTCCAAGTCACCCTTGCACTCACAACCAACTCGCCACCCGCTTCCCTTTCGGCCTGGTTCCACTCGAGCGATGGCTTGTCTAGTGACGTCACTCACTTGATGGTTTCCTCAGAGTATGGTTACAGTCCAATCCATCTTCATTTCTTCCTGCTTATTTGTTTCACAATTGGTTCCTGCCGTCTTGGTTGGTTCGCTGATTGCCAGAGATCCCACCCTGTTGGTGATCTTTACTGGCCGGCCATCTGATCTTGAGTGGTATTGAGTGAAGACAACTGTTAATGGAGGTCTGAAGTTTGGTTGAGATGCTCTTTATGGTGAGCAGTGCAAGTATCTGATCCGTATGTTGAGTAGCACTGACTGGCTTCACATTGGAGTTGAAAATCCGGATCTTATTTTTGATTCTGAGTGATGTTGACCTCCACACAGACTTCAGAGTAATGAAAGCTTGTCTTGCTCTCCCAATTCTGGATTTGATATCCTCGTCAGTTCCGTCCGCCAGTAATTGAAACGATGCTTCCCATGTAGGTAGGTGGGTAGGTGAAGGAGGTTGTTTCCTTCACGTTCCTCCCATTTATGCTGGCTGATTGTTGTGTTTTGTTGTTGTTATTGCTGTTGGTGTTGGCCAGGAATCTTCATCACCTACATCTGTTTTATCTATGTTCACCTGTAGTCCTATCCTCTCTGGATGCTTGTTCTGCCAGCTTGTTGCTTTTCACTTGGATATCTTCCAGTTTGTGGGAAATCAGACATATATACCACATCGGCGAAGTCCACATCCTCCAAGTTCTATTTTTTGTGTCAGTTCATTTTATGCCTGTTTCCTCATTGGCCGCTAGCTGTCTGTCGCATTATCCAGTCTACTGCAATCAGGAAGATCATTGGCGATAGTAGACAGCCAGCTTGCCTCACTCCCGTCCTCACTTCGAAGGCTTCCGTAAGTTTCCCGTTGTGGATTACTTGGAGGCATGTAGCATTGTCGTACAACTAACTGTTGGATGAGATGTATAATTGTCGATGGGACCCCTTGTTAGTAGCGAAGTAGTTTCCAAATCACCTCTCGATCGACTGGCCTATTTTAGCGCAGACCTCTCCCCTAGACATTCCTAATGAACACATCTCGTAGGAGATGAAAACCGTACACAGTTGACTTTTACATTAAAAAAAACGTGATTTAGCTTCATAAAACACACCAGAAATTTTTTTTTAGAATGTCGACAGAATAAAACTTTTTCGTCTAAGACATAAATAATCTTAAAACACAGACAGTTATGTGATTGATTACATGTACATTTTAATGCATTTCCACACACACTGCAAACACGACAGCTATATTAATCCAGTCTGCATCAAAACAAAGCAGAAGATACAATATACCAGTTCTAGTTACCAACTGGTAACCAATACAGTTTCCTCCTACAGGACGTTAATCACTAGCCAGGATAGGTTCACTGAGGACGTCTCTGACTGCAAGCAGCACTGCACTGAGAACACTGACACAGGTTAAAATCCCAGAAATGCCGTGAGTTTTTTTTCCAAGAATGCAGATATGCGTTTTTTGGACTGTTGAATGCCAACAAAAACACACACGTAATTTAGATCCAAAACTGTTTAGAGATTGCACCTTCAGCCATTTAATAATTAGGTATATATGCATATCTCGTGGAAATCTAAAAGTCAACAGTTCTCAATACCATTTCGCCATACATTCACTTACTCTAAAAGAAAAAAAACAAGAATAACAGTGTACACTCCTAAAAAACAAAACGTTGTACAATATCTCTCTTAATAACAATTAAGGTTAAATTAACAAGATTTCGTGAAAATTTCCCTTTCCTATCAATAAAAATAAAAGTGGACAAACTACAAAAATCAAACAGAAAGCTTAAATAATATACATGCAGTTTACCTCATTTGATATTGCTCTACTGTTACCTGAGCTTACATAGGAGTAGATATGCGTTAATAGACTGTAAGAAACGAGAAATGAAACAAAAAGCAAAATGTGTGACAATTCATCATGATGATATGATTCTGTAAGTAGTCATAAAAACAATAATAATAATAATTTTGTCAATAACAACATAGATGAAAAAGTGGACTGTGATGTGCGATAACAAAAAAACTAAAAAATCAGCCTGATTAAACAAACATATCTTCAAGTCTGTCTGTCTGTCTATTTTCGACATAGAACTTTGCACCGATGTGCGGCAGTTCAAGTCTCCACACACTCCCTCCTTGCAGCACACAAAGCATGAGGAGAAAGTAGAAGAAATGCATAATAGAGACAATAGACAGAGGTGTGAGACAAAGGAATAGTAGTAGCGAAGAACAAAACAGTTTCATTGGAAATCATAAGTCACAAGGAGTGGATGCATCTGCGCTAGCCATCGTCGAGAACGATTTTGAGCCATGTCACCAATTGTTTCCAACCATTGATTTTTACCGTCCCGAGGACCCCAACCAGTCAGGAAGTCTACACCTTCCTAGGTGGCTTAGACTAACTGTTGTGGATTTGATTGACTGGTGCCAAGTTTTTGTTTGACCGCCGCTAGCTTTTTTTCCAGTCTGACTCTATATCCACTAACATTACTCGTCAGTCGAGTAAGGCGATGACTAGGCATACGTAGCACATGTCCTAACCATCTCAGTCGATGTAGCTTCACAGCCTCGTCGATTGATTTCCCCTGTTTACTTAGAACTCTACGCCTAACCTCAATATTGCTCACCTTATTATCCCACTTCGCACGGGAGAGAGAACGCAGGCACTTATGATCGAAGACAGCTAGCTAGTCTTTTCATGTCTTCCACTCTCAGTGGCCAGGTCTCACAGCCAGGCATAAGGGAGGACGGAGCGGACTGATGAGCAGCACACCCGCCCTTTGGTCGATAGTCGAACACCTCGTCTACGCCAGAGTCGGCGTAAACTGGCAAATGCAAAACGAGCCCCTTGTATTCGTGCTGAGATTTCGTCAGAGATCAACCCGTTGGCGTTAGCTGATGGTACTTCCCAAATAAGTGAAGCGGTCAACGTGCTCTACCACTTCACTCCCTATTTCTAAACTAGGAGTCAGCGTAGCCCAGTCAGTCCTGTAACTTCATCTTACATTTGGCGGGAGCGAATCGCTCACATGCCAAACATTCGTAGATTGCAGCTCAAGGTGTTTAGAAGACTTTGCATTTTGTCAGAGTCCTCGCCTAGAAGGACTATATCGTCTGCATATTCCAAGTCAACGAGATTATTCCCTGGTAGCAAGTCAATCCCTGAGTCGCTGAAGTCACTTAGGATTAAGTCGATTAACACATCTATGATGAAGTTGAATAGAAAAGGAGATAATGGGCATCCTTGACCGACACCACTGGTCGTCATCAGTTCAGATGACAACTCGCCGTAGACATAGTAGTCGATAAAGGCGAAAAAAACAAATACATGGTCGGATTAAGTAATGGTTACTGAGATTGTAAGGGGAGTAAATACACCATGTTTCAATGGAGATGTAATAAGATTAAGGGATGAAAACAGAGGGTTGAAAATATTAGTCGGGATGGTGCTGACGTCATCAGTCATATATATATATATATATATATATATATAAATACAACAACAGAAGACAATCCCCAGTCAACAGATCGCTTATTATGGAAATCAGTACATATATTTATAGATTTTCATGTACATTATTATCGATTATTGTTAGCAGACAAACACCACAGTCTTCTGATTGGTGGTGGTTGTTTCTCACTGCAAGTTAATCTTTTACCTCTTTGTAGCTGTTTCTTGAATATCAGATCACCTGTATGTTAACCACCTACGCCAAACCTTTGTTTTCATTTTTCTCACGACCAATAATTGGGGACATAAACATTGACGTAAATTACTGTCCACCACACACACACGCCTTAAGTCTGGGTGGAGGTCAACATCACTCAGAATCAAAAATAAGATCCGGATTTTCAACTCCAATGTGAAGCCAGTCAGTGCTACTTATTATACGGATCAGATACTTGCACTGCTTACCATAAAGAGCATCTCAAACAAACTTCAGACCGCCATTAACAGTTGTCTTCGCTCAATACCACTCAAGATCAGATGGCCGGCCAGTAAAGATCACCAACAGGGTGGGATCTCTGGCAATCAGCGAACCAACCAACACGGCAGGAACCGATTGTGAAACAAATAAGCAGGAAGAAATGAAGATGGATTGGACTGTGACCATACTCTGAGGAAACCATCAAGTGAGTGACATCACTAGACAAGCCATCGCTCGAGTGGAACCAGGCCGAAAGGGAAGCGGGTGGCGAGTTGGTTGTGAGTGCAAGGGTGACTTGGAGGAGAGGTGATGTGAGGAGGAGATGAAAGCATGTGGGCGGACTTGGAGCGGGGTGAAAAAGTTGTCAGGAAACAGAAGGCAATGGAGACTTGGGCGGCTGAAGCCCTATGTTCCTCTAGGAATCAAAGGATATAATAATAATAATAATTTTGACTAACAGCCAACTCTCACTACACTCGTCCTCCCCCCCCCCCCATCAAAGACTTGCGACTGAATTTGGTTCGTTTTTCTTGGTTCTAGCGGGCTTTGCTCGTTAGTGTGTTGCTGTCTGGAATCTCGGCAATCGTTGATGTTCACCATTGCAATTATATATATATATATGCAAAGTGTGAGAATAAATACATCCTTATTGATACCAATGAAATATCACATTGTACTCTATAAATATAACTGAACTGATTAATATGACACTGCGATGGCGAGCCAATTAGAATGTTAGCCACATTGCAAACTTGATTGAAAGAATTCAGTGTGCACCAAACAAAGAACTAGACGAATGACACTAGTTTCTAATCAATACAAAACATTAATTATGAGAAGATAAGTACGTCTGAAGGTAAGTCTATCCATACTCCTCCTCCTTATTGAAGACAACATTAGAGGAGAGTAAAAAGCGGAATACTTACTTAGAGAAGACGTAAGTATAATGCAGTGTGTACACCAATAGTCAAAAACACTATTATTGAGAAAACAAATGTCAGTGATGCTATTGCGTCGAGACTAGAGAAGTACGGATCACTGGTCTTGATAGGACAAGAGATCTCAATAAAAAATAAACGGATAAATTGAAACTTCTAATAACTTTCATCCAATGGTATATACGAAATAAGTACACATGGAATTCAGGATTTGCAAAACCACTGACTCAGTTAGTCACACTTTTGACTTCAAGATATAAATAACACCAGTAAACACAAGATTAATGAGATCTTTTTCAACCCCGTATTTGATCTTTTGGTCCATTTCTAAAGATAATGTGCACGACTTTTAGGTGCAAACGGTTACAATTTGGAAAGAGGACATACGCTGTTGTAGGTGTAAAACGCAAGTGACTTGGAAGCATGTGTACCTCCTAGAATAGTCAAAAGCTACTGTATAGATCATCCAAGCCAGAGATCGCAAGGAGGTCTGGTATTAGCGGAAAGTTTATTCAATCAGATGGTACGTTGTTCTTCCATAACCATTAGAATGCCGGGAAAGTTTGATTAAACATTTTTTTGTTGTTGCTTAAGTTGAGAACTGGTTTTCGACAATTCTTTCTATTTTGAAAAAACAAGTAGTTTTATGCTAAAAATTAACATCGTTCTATCCAACAAATATCAAGATGTACTATTAAAAAAACTTATAATTAACAGCGATCCAGCGCTCCAAAAAAGAACTTAACATATCTCGCTTGAAGCACAAATGACAGAATCGGTGAGGGATTGACCAGAATGACTGAAAAAGTGATATGTATCCACATGATGTGTGTTTTGTTTTGACAGTCTGCTATATTTCGCTATGTGTACATCGATCGATATTCCATTGTAACTGACATTATGCTTCTGTCTGGAGTTGTCTGAGCTGTGCAATTTTGCTTTTCTGTTTTGTCGGTCGTAGGTAAGTTAAAAGTATCTAAGAGTATATCCAGAGGTAGAGATGACTGTGTACTGGTAGGGATATTTGAGTTTCTTGGACGCAACTGATTGTAGTGACGGGTCCATAAATCATTACCAACTTTCACGTCGTGCTGCGATGGAACCTTTATTCCAAGGTTTATGTCCTGCTCGATAGTCGCGGACATAGATAGGGTCACCAACATCAATTTTTTTTCATTCCGAAATGATGCATCGGCACGTTTGGGTGTCGGTGGTAACATTGAGTTGTGAATCGTTCTAAGTTTGCATCCGTAAAGAATTTCTGCCGGCGATTTCTTGTTCTGTGTTGACTCATTCGCCGTTCTACGGTACACCATCAAGAATTTTTGGATGATGTCAAATGGTGTTCCTCTCCTCCTGCTTTGAGTAAGGCTCTCTTCAAAGTGTCGACAAAACGTTCCGCTTGGACGTTTGATTGAGGATGATACGGCGGTGTGAACATTATGCTCGATAGCATTTTGACGACAGAACTGCTGAAACTGATGAGAGGTAATCTGCGAACCATTGTGTGTAACTATGGTTTCTGGGAGACCACGATGGGAGAATATGTCAGTGAGAGCTTTGAGAGTCTGGGACGTTGTCGGCGAAACCATTGGTACAACTTCTGGCCACTTAGAAAAAGCGTCTATCACCACTAAATAATATGCACCATTTGTAGGGCCAGCAAAATCAATATGAATTCTGGACCAAGGATGGGCTGCTGGTGGCCACCGTACGGGAGGTAGCTGTCGAGGTAGTTTTGCTGATTGTTGACATTTTGAACATCGTTGAAAAAAATCGATAATATGCTTATCCATATTAGGCTAGTATGCGTAACTGCGAGCGATAGACTTCATCAGCTGAATACCAGGATGCCCCATGTGAAACTGTTTCAGTAGTTTATTTCGTAATGCTTCAGGTATCCCTACGCGTTCTCCAAAAATCAAGCAATCTTTTACAACACATAAGGAATCACGACGAGCAAACAGGTGTTTCAGGTCTCCACTATATTTAATCTTCCGCCAAATACTGGATACATGCTGTGCACAGCACGTCGTAAGGTGGCATTGCTGCTTGTAGTTCGCTGGATTTCTGCAAACGTTACTGGTAGAGATCGAACAGCATTGTTGATGAGGTTAACTGAATAGTCTTTGGTGGCGATCGATGCGATTACCATATCTTCACTTGATGCAGGATAGTCGCTAATTAACCGAGATAAAGCGTCGGCTTGAACAATATATAACGGACTGTCAAAACAAAACACATCATGTGGATACATATCAAAAAGTATATCAGTCTATAAGCAGCATTCTTTGAACATTTAATGAAAGAAAGTATCAAGAAACAGATTTCTACACGAAACCAGCGTAGGATATAAACTATAAAAAAAAACACCATGTACACATACGATCACCTAACACACCAGGATAGTACATAAATGATAATGATATGCATTAACAATTACTTTTAAAAAAAGATTGGGCTTAACAAGCGTTAATGTCATCAAACGGAATTGACGTCGATTAGATTAGTTTAGATAACCCCAACAAAGAAACTCTATAACATGCTGATATGATATGATTGATGCAAAACAAGCCAGTCAAGAACACGCCTGAGTTACACAGTTTGTCTTTTAAAAGGAAAACACAAATGTTGAATTGTATTTCATGAAAACACTGAATATATAGAAAAAATATGACACACTTCTGTCGGATGTGTCCGATTCCCAACTACTTACATATATATATATATATATATATATATATGTGTGCTGCTCATCAGTCCGCTCCGTCCTCCCTTATGCCTGGCTGTGAGACCTGGCCACTGAGAGTGGAAGACATGAAAAGACTAGCTAGCTGTCTTCGATCATAAGTGCCTGCGTTCTCTCTCCCGTGCGAAGTGGGATAATAAGGTGAGCAATATTGAGGTTAGGCGTAGAGTTCTAAGTAAACAGGGGAAATCAATCGACGAGGCTGTGAAGCTACATCGACTGAGATGGTTAGGACATGTGCTACGTATGCCTAGTCATCGCCTTACTCGACTGACGAGTAATGTTAGTGGATATAGAGTCAGACTGGAAAAAAAGCTAGCGGCGGTCAAACAAAAACTTGGCACCAGTCAATCAAATCCACAACAGTTAGTCTAAGCCACCTAGGAAGGTGTAGACTTCCTGACTGGTTGGGGTCCTCGGGACGGTAAAAATCAATGGTTGGAAACAATTGGTGACATGGCTCAAAATCGTTCTCGACGATGGCTAGCGCAGATGCATCCACTCCTTGTGACTTATGATTTCCAATGAAACTGTTTTGTTCTTCGCTACTACTATTCCTTTGTCTCACACCTCTGTCTATTGTCTCTATTATGCATTTCTTCTACTTTCTCCTCATGCTTTGTGTGCTGCAAGGAGGGAGTGTGTGGAGACTTGAACTGCCGCACATCGGTGCAAGCAAAGTTCTATGTCGAAAATAGACAGACAGACCTTTGAACGGCGAACTGATATAGGTTTCTTCGGAACTGTTGGGATTGTTTTGCAGGGGCCAATTTCTGGACCCAGTAAATCATCATACTGTTTCACTCATTGTGTTGTGATATATCTAAATAAACAAATTATTATGTAATTTTCGGTTTGTTTCTAAATTCTATTGGTAATTTCCATTTCATCCGGTATTAATTTTCTTCCCCTTATGACCACTTTTGTTAACTTGACTCTCATTCAATTTCAGTTGACTTCCACTCACTCAATCCACTCAATGAATTATTTTACATCACTCATTTTAATTATTATTTAATTTTCGTCCAGTTTGTTTCCGATTAGAAGTTTTTATATATTAGGTAATTTGTTATCTAAAAACAATTTACACTTCTAATGACACACATCTTTGGAAATATTAGTGAGAGATGATCAAATCTGGTACGACTTGCCGGACTTTTTAAGAACTCAAAAGTCAAAGAGTGAATACAGAGAGTGTAATACACAGACATTCGTAGGTAGGTGATTAATACGTTGGTTTAAGGTTAATATTTCTCATTTACTATCTAGTTAGGTAGTAAAACAACAAAAGGCTGAATAAAATATGTGATTATTTTCTTTTATTTATTTTATTATTGGCACCTACAGTTACACTGATTTCTGCTATCTCGTGAAACCTTTGACATAAAAGTTTGCATTTACTTTACGCCATACTCTCTCTGTCACTCTCTCATACACTCTCTGATTAGTAGTCAGTAATATATTTACAACATTCAATCGTACACAGCCCAACACAGAGGTATGGAGAACCAGTGGGGGGGGGGGGGGGAACTGGACAGCTGTTTCACGCGGAACGGCAGATAATTATCCTCCAAAGAAAAAAATTGATTTCAATCAGAGCAGAGATCAATTCAAGTTGATGTTAAACGCTAACAAACACACTGACAGACAATATTTACACACACACACACACTTCTAATGGTAGGTAGGAGGAAATCAAGAAATAGATTTTTAAAAAATAGAAAAGAACAGATGCAATCGCTTTTTTTGTAGTTAGATTGTGGGAATTCAGGCAGTTGTAACCAACAGGAATCGACAGTAGTCGAATAATAACAGTTGTAATTGTCTAGCGGTCACGCTATGTCGTGCGTGAATTGGCAGAAGTCAGAATTCGAGGACCATTGGATCGAGTCCCAGTGGCTTAATTATATACGAGCTCGCCTTGTAACTAGAAGGTCTTGGGTTCGAATCCCGTGGTGTGGGGTGCGTACTGTTGAAGAGTCCCAAATTAGGACGAAACAGCTGTCCAGTACTCCCAGGTTTTCCAATGGTTCTCTAACTAATGTCAGCTCATGATGAAATCCTGAAACCAATCAAATCCCTACAAACCAACACTTGAATAGTTGTAATATACCTTCCTGCTTAGCAGAGACAGCTACAAGTAAGTGATCCCGTGACCAAATGCTTTCTAACCATAGAAAGAATAAGAAGAAGTGTCCTAGAATGTTTATAGCTTCATCAACTGAACTAATAAGGCTTTCGGGTTTTGAGCGATGAAATACTTCACATACAGACAAATCTTAACAAAATGCTGACAACATTTATTCACTGTATTTCAGGCATATTTATCCCCTAGGCCCACAACACAATTTGATGAACACTAATACACAAATAAACGAGATGTCAACTTCTAGAAACTGCTGTTTCAAAAAACTTAATGTCTGATTTAGACGAAGCCTAATTTTCACATAACTTTCACAACTCACTCATTATTAGCAAAAAAACTTTTTTTCTTTATTCTTTAGTTTCAGAATTCCAAGTTTAAAAACAAACATACCCTATACATATTTGCAATCATTTACTGCTATGAAAAATATTCATGTTTTCAAGACATTACAGTTTGTTTGTTTTCTAATGGATAATCACATTTCTGAACACTAGACATATTATAACGTCTCTGACTGCAGCACTGGGTGACGCGGGTTCGAATCTCAGAAAGGACATGAGTTCCTTCAAGGTTGCAGATACGCCTTGCTGACGAGTGCCAACTAGCACGAAACCTAGGTCCAAGGCTTCCTGTGGCCGATTGCCTCCAACCATCTAATACCATCAAATAAATGTGCACCGTGACGGCGAGCTAGCTAGAATGGTGGTCACATTACAATCTGACTGATAGAATTCAGTCTACACCAATCAGAGGACTAGACGCATCACACTAGTTACTGGTGTCAAATCAAAACTAGTCATATCAGTTAAGGTTCTTACTTTATGTAAAGCTATTAAATCCATTTTTGTAATCTATTCATTTGTTAATCTTCATGTATAAATAATATCACGTGCAGTATAATATATTATATCACAAAAATAATTATTGATTAACACTTATTGACATATTTTATGACCTTTCTGATATGTACCCACATGATGTGTGTGTGTGTGTATTTTGTTTTTGACAGTCTATTATATTTTGCTATGTGTATATAGATCGATATTTCATTAAAACTGACAATATGCTTTTGTCTGTCCACTAACTAAATAAACAATGTATGACCTTGTTGTCACATGACATTACAACCAATCATGTTAAGACTGGCTATTTATTGGTTCATGTGTATTAGCCATTTTCATATATACTTTGCATTGTACACTTTATCATTCTTGTACACACATTTCGCACATCTGAGTACCCTTTCACTCACACTCTTGTGTGACATTTATTTTTCTTGTCTGGAAAATACAAGTATCATAGAAAACCTGGTGGTCTTCTGATTTCCCTTTTTCCGGGTCAGGACTAATAACTACTCGACGAGGACATAACAATAAGAATGAAATGAATGCTGAAATCCTTTACAGAATAAGTTCACCATAAACAGAATTCAGATATGAAATATAGAGAAAGACAACAGCTTATAACTGCTTGATGCTCTGTCAACAAGAAGGTCAGATAAGCATACATGCATACAGAGGACTCGTTGGCCTATGACTTCAAGGGGGCGCTGCTCCAGATTCAAGCTCTAGTACATTCTAATCGTGAAAATAGACGGCTATTTCGCTCAATCTGGTGAAGCACGCATTATTGAAACAAAACATATTTAAGCTATCAAGAGCTCTTAATGTGTTAGTTACAATTTTGTATGAAAATAGAAACACACACTTACTATGGATGAGTTCCACCAGGTCCTGAAGACGAACGACATTCTATAATTGATGACCGTACACCTATTGATCCAAAGAGAGAAACCATATCGGTAGCGCCTAAACATGCAGTACTATCCACCAATCCAACAAGATTACGATCATCTGAAGAAATGCTGCCGACCTCAGAATCTGTAGGATGAGAACTAGATGAAATTCTATTCGAGTTTAGTGTTGAAGATATCTGAGATGCGCCAAGTGGATCGAAGCCAAGTGACCAAGCAGATTCTAAAAGGGCCTGTAATTTCCATATGGATGGCATAGCTGAAAGGGCTAGAAACCAAATAATTAAACAATTTGATATACACTATATTAAGCTGCAAATAAATAGCACGAAAAAGAAAAGATAAAATCAACCACATAAAAAAATACCAATATATTCGACTCAATATCGTTATCCAGAGCTCTTCTCTAAAATGGTTGACTAGTGATCAGTAGTACCTCACGAAGCCTAAATGCTCATATTGGATTTCATAAAACAAACAGATTTATTTCCCCATAGTAACTTTATCAAGACGTACCACACAGTGAAATAGTATTATTTACTAGGTGACAAGGTTTCAAACATAATTTATCACTGTTCACAATCATATCGCCAATTGTAATCACACGACCTCAAAACTTGACTTTTATAGTCTTCCTTGTCCTCTCTTATTTGTCGTCGTCATTAGGGTAGTAGAATTTTCCAGATATCTGGCTGGACAGGTATTGAATCATTCCCAATAACAGGTATTCTCCATCAGTTGATTCAATAAACAAAGCTTCTGTTATCAATCTCTCTCTCTCCCTACACCCTGTGACATTAGATTTTCAGAAATGTCATCCTATCCCATCCAGCCTATTGTATGTTTGGTTGTGTGTAACTGCATGTAGTGAGAGTGCTATCTACAGCTGAACTATTCTCTAGATTTCTTATCTTATTCGGGTCAACCAATCTAGATTTTACTGCTAGGTTTTTATGTTCGGCTAGTCTGACAGACTGACCCTGTTCTACTAGTTTGACCTATGTACTTGATCTGACAATCATTCCAGCAGGGTGTTAGATAAACTAAATTGTTTCGTGTTAAAGGCTCCACTGTCAGGATTGATCCTTCAACCAACAAAGCTTGTTTCTAATTGAGTTTGTGGTTGGTTTGAATCCCGGCCACTTTTATTCCTGCCAGCGTTGTTAAGAATTCTGAGTAAGGTGGTTGGTTTCCGAGGTTCCTTCCTTGTATGGAATAACTACTGATGATTTAGATTCCTTATTGTTCGTTTTGTTATCATCTTGTGCATGTTTGACATGCATGTCGTCATTATCATTATTATTATTATCATCACTATCACTACTATCATTATTTATTTTATTGTGACATTTCCCTACATACTTTCTGACTAATGTATCAGGGTAATTAATAAGTTTCAAGGCTTCTCTTATATGTCTCACTTCCTGTCTTAGATTTTCCTTGGTACTACTTAGTTTTTGTGCTCTGTCACCCAAACATTTCACTAATCCTATTTTTACTGACACATATTGGGTGGGATGATAGGAAGTCCAGAAATTTATTTGAATGTGTGATTTTCCTGTCTGTCTGTCTGTTTTCGACATAGAACTTTGCACAAATGTGCACCAGTTCAAGTCGCCACATTCCGTGTAGCACGCGAAGCAAGAGAAGAAAGTACAAGAAAAGCATAATAGAAACAGTGAGCAGAGGTGTGAGACAAAGGAGTAATAAAGAAATACAAAACAGTTTCATTGAAGATCATAAGTCACAGGGAGTGGATGCATCTGCGCTGGCCACTGAGAACGATTTTGAGCCATGTCACCAATTGTTTCCAACCATAGATTTTTACCGTCCCGAGGACCCCAGCCTGGACATACTAGCGTGTTTAACTTCCCATTTTCTTTTCTTTTTACGCTATAATCTAACATTGGCAGTTCCCCTTCCTGACTTTGCAATTCATCATAAGTCAATTGAATTGCCTCCACCTTTGAGTTAACATGTTCGGAAAATCTGTCTACATCCTGTGTTCTTAGTACAGTGAATGTGTCATCTACATATCTCCACCATACTTTTCGGGTGGGGCTGAAAGTTTCAATCGGTATGTTTTCTCACCTATCCATGAATATAATATCTGCTACAACCGGGGATATTGGTGACCCCATGGCAACTCCCTCAGTTTGTTTGTTTGTTTTCTCTTGGAATTTAAATACTGTCGAAGTCAGGCACCGCAGTATTCCCAACACTATATCCTCAAGTGGCACTTTCTACCTAAGTTCGAGTTCTTGGTCACAAATGAGTTCGTTTCCGACTCCCTCTATTGCCATATTTAATTTATGTTATAGGGTGCTAGAATGATTGTTAGATCAAGTACATAGGTCAAACTAGTAGAACAGGGTCAGTGAGTCAGACTAGCCGAACATAAAAACCTAGCAGTAAAATCTAGATTGGTTGACCCGAATAAGATAAGAAATCTAGAGAATAGTTCAGCTGTAGATAGCACTCTCACTACATGCAGTTACACACAACCATACAATAGGATGGATGGGATACGATAACTGTTCTAGGATCTAAATTAACAGAGTGGAGGCAGCAGGATGTATAACGGAGGCTTTGTTTATTGAATCAACTGATGGAGAATACCTGTTATTGGGAATGATTCAATACCTGTCCAGCCAGATATCTGGAAAATTCTATTACCCTAATGACGACGACAAATAAGAGAGGACAAGGAAGACTATAAAAGTCAAGTTTTGAGGTCGTGTGATTACAATTGGCGATATGATTGTGAACAGTATTGAGTTGTGTTCGAGACCTTTTCATCTAGTGTAAATAATACTGTTTCACTCACTGTGTGATGCATCTTATACACAAATTAATATGGAATCACTTACTACCAGAGAGTGCCGAAGTTTCGCACACATAGTGATGGTGTTGTTCGTTGTTAGTAGTCGTTTTGCCCCATATAGCTAGCTGTCTTCCACCTCTATTTCGCATATCTTTTACTTTCTTGTCTTGCTATGTGTGCTACTTGAAGTGAACTGCTTACTTACTTACTTTACTTCGGCTATCTCCTACGGGAGGATGAGCCGGCTTCATGAACGTCTCGAATCATCGCTGCCCAGGCGCGGCAATTTGTAAGAGAGTTCATGAAGTGAACTGCTTGCTGTACATCGTTGCTATGTTCTATGTTGAAAAAACAGACGGACAACACACACGCAGGAAACGGCTTGAACAAGACGATAAAGCTGATCTTCATTTAGATATTGTTTGCTTGAAAACCATACGCGTTTCAAATCAATAATCGGTGTATTTTTGGTTGTTAAGTCAGGTATTTTAAGTGGAGTCAGACATTTTCGTACGATTCAATGTTCAAACCATTGGTAATGACACAACAGTTGCCTTGAATTTTCACACTGTGTTTGACTATCGACCAAAGGCCGAGTGTGCTGCTCACCAGTCCGCTCCGTCCTCCCTTATGCCTGGCTGTGAGACCTGGCCACTGAGAGTGGAAGACATGAAAAGACTAGCTAGCTGTCTTCGATCATAAGTGCCTGCGTTCTCTCTCCCGTGCGAAGTGGGATAATAAGGTGAGCAATATTGAGGTTAGGCGTCGAGTTCTAAGTAAACAGGGGAAATCAATCGACGAGGCTGTGAAGCTACATCGACTGAGATGGTTAGGACATGTGCTACGTATGCCTAGTCATCGCCTTACTCGACTGACGAGTAATGTTAGTGGATATAGAGTCAGACTGGAAAAAAAGCTAGCGGCGGTCAAACAAAAACTTGGCACCAGTCAATCAAATCCACAACAGTTAGTCTAAGCCACCTAGGAAGGTGTAGACTTCCTGACTGGTTGGGGTCCTCGGGACGGTAAAAATCAATGGTTGGAAACAATTGGTGACATGGCTCAAAATCGTTCTCGACGATGGCTAGCGCAGATGCATCCACTCCTTGTGACTTATGATTTCCAATGAAACTGTTTTGTTCTTCGCTACTACTATTCCTTTGTCTCACACCTCTGTCTATTGTCTCTATTATGCATTTCTTCTACTTTCTCCTCATGCTTTGTGTGCTGCAAGGAGGGAGTGTGTGGAGACTTGAACTGCCGCACATCGGTGCAAGCAAAGTTCTATGTCGAAAACAGACAGACAGAGTTTAGCCACACAACTGAGCATTCGCCTAGTTTACCTAAGGGATGCAGCAGTAACAATGATTCCAGCACTTCTTTAGAGAGTAACCACCTTAAATTCCACGGAAACTCTGGTATATAGTGACCAATTTTTAGTTGACGCAAAGACTTTTACATTTGAATGGCACAGCAACGTACCATACTTATATTATTATTGCTCCCTTGGGTTTCTAGTGGAACATAGGGCTTCAACTTCACGTCTCCACGTGCCACTTCTGTCTTCCTTCTGCTATACTTTTCACCTGCATCCATGTTAGTCCATACTCTTTCAACTCCTCTTCACACGATCTCCCCCATGTCACCCTTGCACTGACGTCCCACACGCCGCTTCGCTTTCGGGTTCCACTCGAGCAATGGCCTGACGCGCGATGTGACACAGCGGCGGCCTCCTCAGCGAGCGACTGTCCAATCCATCTCCACTTTCTCCTGCATATTTGTTGGTTGGTGATTGGTTCTTGTTTTGTTTTGTTTGTTCCCATAGTTTCCAATAGTTGGTGATTCTTTCCGGTCCGGCCATCTGATCTCCAATATAGAGCCAGAGAAGACAGTTGTTGATGAAGGTCAGCAACAGGCTGTTGGTGGAAATATTCTTTGTGACCCACCCGCCAAGTTTCTGATCCGTATAGAAGGACTGACTGACTTGACGTTTGTATTGAAAATCCGAAGCAATGTGGTTGTTGATGCAGAGTGACGAAGATTTCCAGATTGGTTTCAGGTTGATGAATGTATGTGTCTCTCGCCTTCCCCATTCTCACCTCGATTTGACATCCTCGTCCTTTCCGACTTCCTATAGTTGAGACAATGCTCCCTAGATAAGTGAGTGAATGAAGTAACCTCGTTCCAATCCCTCCCACACGTTGATGGTGATTGACGCTGGATGTTTCTGCTGTCGTTGTTATTGTTGGTGGTGGTTGGTTATTTTCATAACTTCCGTCTTGTCCATGTTCACATGGAGTCCTGTCTTCGCCGGCTGCTTCTTCGACCAGTTTTTCGGTCGGTTTTTGCTTGTAAGTCTTTGATTTTGTGTGACACCAAACATAAATTATCCACTCGCGAAATCCAGGTCTTCTAGGTTCTTCACGTCGGTCCAGGAAATCCCTATCTTCTCGTTTCCCACTCACTGTCTGATGCATAATCCAGTCCACCACAATTAGGAATATCATTCATTGGTGATAATGAGCACCCTTGTCTGATTCCTGTGTTTACTCCAAACGCCTCGCTGAGTTTTCCGTTGTGGATCACTTGACAAGTACCGTCGTCGTACAGCTGTTGAGTAAGGTTGATGAATATTTGGGGTACGCCGTAGTACTCGAGTGATTTTCAAATTACTTCACGATCAACGCTGTCGAAGGCCTTCCCAAATTCTATAAAGTTGAGGTAGAGGTTTGATTGCCATTCCATGTTTTGTTCAATGATGATGCGTGGGGGGCGTGGTGTTAGCAACTCCACCCGCGTAAAACAACGAAATCGCTACAGAAACTTCAACCATACTTATATCGTCTATCATAATATGAATACATGAATCGCTGTTTTTTGAAGAGATCACAAATCATCATATCATCATGAACCCGTATATATATATATATATAAAAGAAAATTTTGAAATATATATGCACAGAACTCACATCCAAAAAGACGTTTCCTAAATTCAGGAATTCGAAATAACGCAGATAGTATGCATTGTGCATTACGATAACAGCAAGCGAAATTTTTCTCCCATGGTTCTGAAGCGAAATGATCACAATCAACACTGATCAAATTCCACCGAGTGTTAAGCCAACCACTGTGAATTAATTGCTTTAGAGCGTGAATAATACCTAAAAAGAGAAAGAGAGAGAAAAAGGTTAACATGTGAGGCCAAATTAATTTTTTCATCTCAAAGTCAAATTTTCTTTGGATTTTGCATAACTCTAATTCATTTGTGAATTGATTTTGCTTTATAGGATAACAACTATGAACGTATCGGGCAAAAGTTCGACACAGATAAAGCCAGTCAAAGATGACAATGGAAAGTCAATCACAAATCAGGTAGAGCAAAGAAAACATTGGGCTGAACACTTCAAAAGACTTTTGAATCGCCCACCATCTACAACGCGCAAAAAAAAATCAACAACGGAAGCAGAACTACCAGTGAACAACGACCCCTCGACAAAATCGGAAGTCCTGAATGCAATCAAAATGCTAAAACCTGAGAAAGCAGCTGGACCAGATGGAATCCCAGCAGAAGCATTGAAAATGGACCCAGAGACAACAGCGCACCTGATGACACCATTGATAAAGTAGGTGTGGAAAGAGGGCAAAGAACCTGAGGATTGGAAGAAAGGATACTTATTCAAACTACCAAAGAAAGGAGACTTAAGTCAATGGAAAAACTGGCGCGGAATTATGCTCCTCTCAATCCCAAGCAAAATACTAAGCCCCATCATCCTGGAGAGAATCAAACAAGCCAACCTCGATGAAAAACTCCGACCGGAACAAGCTGAATTCAGGAGAAACAAGTCGTGTATTGATCAAATCGCCATACTACGGATCATCATTGAACAAAGCTTGGAATGGAAGTCACCTCTCTACCTCACTCAACTTCATCGACTTTGAAAGGGCCTTCGACAGCGTCGATTGAGAGGTCATTTGGCAACTAATTCGCTACTACGGGGTCCCATCGACAATTATACATCTCATCCAACAGTTATACGACAATGCTGCATCCCAAGTAATCCACAACGGGAAACTTACGGAAGCCTTCAAAAAAAAAAAAGAAGTGAGGCAAGGATGTCTACTGTCGTCAATGATCTTCCTGATTACAGTAGACTGGATAATGCGACAGACAGCAGCGGCCAATGAGGAAACAGGCATAAAATGGACTCACACAAAAAACTTGGAGGATCTCGACTTCACCAATGATATATGTTTGATTTCCCACAAACTGGAAGATATGCAAGTGGAAAGCAACAAGCTCGCAGAAGAAGCACCCAGAGAGGATAGGACTACAAGTGAACATAGATAAAACAGAAAAGGTGATGAAGATTCTTGGCCAACACCAACAGACGACAGTCAGCCAGCATAAATGGGAGGAACCTGAAAGAAACAACCTCCTTCACCTACCCACCTACCTACATGGAAGCATCGTTTCAACTACAGGCCGCGGGAGTGACGAGGATATCAAAGCCAGAATCGGAAAAGCAAGACAACCTTTCATTACTCTGAAGTCTGTGTGGAGGTCAACATCACTCAGAATCAAAAGTAAGATCCGGATTTTCAACTCCAATGTGAAGCCAGTCAGTGCTACTTATTATACGGATCAGATACTTGCACTGCTCACCATAAAGAGCATCTCAAACAAACTTCAGACCTCCATTAACAGTTGTCTTTGCTCAATACCACTCAAGATCAGATGGCCGGCCAGTAAAGATCACCAACAGGGTGGGATCTCTGGCAATCAGCGAACCAACCAACACGGCAGGAACCGATTGTGAAACAAATAAGCAGGAAGAAATGAAGATGGATTGGACTGTGACCATACTCTGAGGAAACCATCAAGTGAGGGACATCACTAGACAAGCCATCGCTCGAGTGGAACCAGGCCGAAAGGGAAGCGGGTGGCGAGTTGGTTGTGAGTGCAAGGGTGACTTGGAGGAGAGGTGATGTGAGGAGGAGATGAAAGCATGTGGGCGGACTTGGAGCGGGGTGAAAAAGTTGTCAGGAAACAGAAGGCAATGGAGACTTGGGCAGCTGAAGCCCTATGTTTTCCTCTAGGGAATTAAAGGATATAATAATAATAATAAATAATAATACACCCATACATCATATACTCACTATTCACGGCCAGTCTTTTTTATGTAAGGGAAACAAATTAAGACACCAAAAATTTTGAAAAAAAATGACTAAAAATTGCGGAATCAATATATATATATATATATATATATATTTATATATCAGAAGAAATAAGTTACACTGTCTAGACAATAAGAGTCCTAAGGACGAGAAACCAAGAAACATATAAGCATTGCCTTTATATATATGCATCGATAAGCCTATTTTTGCAGTGAATTTGAATAGAGTTGGTGGAGTTTTTAAGGCACTACGTTAAATTATGCACAGATAGTGTGGATCACTGCAACCAAATACAGCTTGACAAATCGCAAAACTGGACATCTTTCAAAGGCGAAATAACAATGTTTGAAAAAAAAGTGGTATAGGTAGCCGAAAAATTGTAAATAATAATAACATATAGATTCATTCACTGAGCTGTAGAAACTCACCGTCTGTACATGTTGCTGCTGAATCAATACCTTGACGGACTGAACGTCGGAGTTCTTGAACACGTCGCTGATAGTCTATCAAAGATAAATTGTTCAACTCGAAACTCCTTTCAAGCCATCGAGTTGCTATAGACTGAGCAGAACAGCTGGATGTCCCAGACGGCAAACGCTGAAACAGTAAGATTCAAAAATTCTTACAAGAATTCTTAAAACAAAACTACTCCTACCGTTTATTTATGCTAAATAACAAAATGGTAGTAAGTCAGGTAGGTGTAATCTGTTTTCTGCTAATTCTTGTGGGTATTTTTTTTATTACAGCTTGATTCCACACTGTATTTTTGGTACAAGTATGGAATTCTCAGCATGGATATCGGTAGCCAAAATTTCGCAGGCCGACCATAGATATCAGGTGTGCGTCGACAGGGAATCGAACCTCGGACCATGTGCATGATCAGCGAGAGTCCTAACCACTGTGCCACCGACAAACAATATCTCCGTCTAGACAGTTATGCAACCCTTAAACATGTGAAAAATGAGCACCCCCTGTATCAACACAACCGAAATAATGATTTGCGCATAGAATGGTGGGAAGTAACAATAAGCGAAATTAAGAACACTAAATTCGCTTAGAAACGTAGTCTGTTGTAGTTACAGGTACAGTACACATATATCGATTGTCTAAGGAAACTAAAAAAAGGGAACAACAAGCCGATATTCACAACTGAGATGCACAAGAATTATAAATTTTATGATAAAGCAACTTGAATTTTAGTCGAAATAAATACTACTGGAAAATTAATCTTTGGTGAACCTGCCAACCATATGATTTTCGGACAGTGCTAAAGAATGGCTAAGAAAGGAGTGTGTATTAATTCACATAGTCAGTGTAGCGTAGTAGGAATTTAGTAGAGTCATACCACTATGTCACCACAATATTTAGAACAGCAGCTACATGAATACATCAGCCTGAATGAATCCACTGACTGACTCCTCTTTCGGAAAATAAATTCATAAAAGCACAGAAATAGAGACAGTAAAGAAATTTAATGAAAATGCAGTGGACACAGATTTATAAGACATGATAATTATATGAAAATTACTGTGGGTTTTTAGAAGTGCTGCACAATACACACGTCCTTCAACCGATAACCAGATATCACACCTGCTCTCTAAAGACGAAGGAAATTAGAGAATGTAAGAACCCTCCTGCCAGCAATCAGTCCATTACGGCTGGTGTCGATTATCGACACATTCAACCACTTTACCCTCAACCTCTTAAACTACGAGTCAGTGTAAACCAGTGCTGCAGAACTACTGGATATTTGACCAGGAGTGAGTACTGGAACATACTACTAATATTGCTTAAGGTGTCCAGTGGATTCAGCATTTTTCAGCATGTCTTCAACTAGGAGGAATATACCATCTGCATGCCTTAAATCAATAAGACTATACTCTGGTAAAACAAGCAAATTTCTGAAACAGACAGTCAGGGTTATCTCCATCAGTATACAAATCATGAAATTAGAATTTGTGACATTGGACATCCATATAGAGGACAACACTGATCATGATCCCCTCCGACACCAACTTATCCATAAGCACTCAAACAGCACTCAGAGTTCGAGTAGACTGTTCAAGAATTTTGACAGTACAAAGGAACACGTGTTACAACAGATACCCTTCTTAGTTTTGGCACAAGGAAATTTAATGTCAAAAGACTCATGTGGGGTTTGAATGTCCTTTTTTTATTTCCGACTGTCAAAATAAAAAGTCTACCTATTTAAATATACACAATAGTCTCCATTTTTGTTTTTACTTAGTATTGATACTGAAACCAACAATAGTGATTGAAAACTTACGACAAGAAATAAAAAGATGGATGATAACACCAAACAGTTTTCATCCATATTCCGAGCTAAATATTTTTTCTATTATAACAGAGCTTTCACCACTTGGTTGTTTCACATAACTGAGTTATTATACGAATAAATGTTGTACAACACTAATTTTCAGAGTAAATGTTCCGGAAAATTCCTACTACATGCGAAATTCTAATACTAATTTGTGAGGACAAGATGTGTTTCTAGAAATATCACAAAACTAATCTTGATGCTTGAGGTCCCTTATACTGGGATATCTGTTTAGACCACTAATTCTTTGGGAAAAAAGTTCGAACTACATAAGAGGAACTCACTGATCGTACGCACAGCCTGAAAGACTACCTAAAGTGCATTTAGCGCTTACAACAGATAGAGAGGTGCATGAAAATGCAGTATATAAGAACTGGTTAGTTTACCATGATAACTCATGATTAAATTCTTGAAAGCAACATATCGCACCACAGATCTCACGTAGAGTTTGAAAGGCTTAAAGTGAACCATAAAATATATAGATCTAGATATCAACTGCATTATGATTATTATTACCCTTGAGTTCCAAGTGGAACAGAGAGCTTCAACAACACATCTCCACTTTGTTCTGTTTACTGCCGTCCTCTTTAGCTGGGTCTAAGATTGACCTCACACGGTCTCCTCCATGTCACTCTAAGACGATCCACTCGTCGCTCCCCAACGGGGTTCCACTCTAGGGCCTGGCGTGCGATGTCATTCGGCGGCCTCCTCAATGTATGCCCGATCCATCCCCACTTTCTCCTACATTTTTGTTGAGCGATTGGCTCTTGGTTGGTTTGTTTTATAGTTTCCTGTTACTCATTCTTTATAACCATTGGATCTTCAGTATGGAGCGAAGGCAGCTGTTGATGAAAGTCTGTAGCCTGCTGGAAATCCTTTTCGTGACAAACAGTGCAAGTTTCTGACTCGCACAGAAGAAATGATCGACGTGACACGTGTTGAAAATCCAAATCTCGTTCCTTACGCTGAGCGACAGCAGAATATTCCCAAACTGGTTACGGGTTGATGGTGTGCGTATCTTGCCTTTCCGATCCTGGATGGCTGGTAGACTTTGACATCTTCATCCGTTCCGAATTCCTGCAGTTAAAACGATGCTTCTTGGCTATCAGACCCCTACCTCTGATGGTGATTGGTGCTGGTTGTTGTTGCTATTGCTGTTGGTTGGTTACCTTCATCACCGTCTCCTCTGTGTTCACCTGCAGTCCTGTCTTCACTGCCTCTTCAGCCAGTTTGTTAGTTTTTGCTTGCAAGTCTTCCAGTTTATGTGACATTAGACATATCAACTGCGAAATCCAGATCTTCCAGTCTTCTTATCAGTCGTCCAGCGTATTCCTGACTTCCTCCCCCCAACAGTCTGACGAATAATCTAGTCCACCGCAATTAAGAATATCATCGGTGATAATAGGCAACCTTGTCTTACTGTTATGCACTTCGAACGCCCCGATGAGTGGGTTTCTCGTTGTGGATCACTTTACACGTGCAACTGTCATATAGCCAGCTGATGAATGAACTTGAAAAAAACTTGAGGTAAGCCGTAGTGTTTAAGCAGTTTCCAAATTACTTCTCAGTCTACGCTGTCGAAGGCCTTTTCGAAGTCGATGGAATTGAGAAAGCTGTTTGACTACCATTCTATGCCTTGTTCGATATTAGCTGTGGTGAATCAGATTTAAGAAATAATTATAAGAATTGATGCATGCGAAGTTTGTGTTTGTAATAAAGAACCACATATTCACCTGTATATAATCCAATTTAATTGTACCACGAATACGGCTATGGATACTACATACTGAATTGAAGTCACAGGTCAAGACAAAGTCGCATATCCTCATTCAGTAAGTCAGTCGTTTGTAGTATGATACGGACAAGATACCCGAGAAGTAGCGGCGCGAATTACATGCAACAGAAAGAAATAAAGTAAAGATACGAAAACTGGTGCCCATTAAGTCTCGAGGTTTATTGGACACGACTAACCTGAAAGGACTAGTTAATACACTGCATAGGGACATGGCTCACTGTTTTAAACACTCAACTCACAGGCAATGGATCTTGGGATTAAATCCTGTCACATCAACTTCAGTTTGTATAACAGGATACTAACATAAGCTCACAAAATGTGACATGGTACCTTAGCAACAGCATAATAGCACGACTTAATACTCACGGATCATGATGGAATGCAGATTATTTTTTAAGCACCGATTTATCACAACAACCTAACCAGATACAATGACTGCAACTAGTTACTGTCAGGATGGTGTGTAGCATAAATGTTAGACTAGAAGCAGCTATCAAGATAGGATAAGTTGCTCTACAATGACAGCTTGAAGTGATCTTACAAAGCCACCTATGCTGCTGCGCTGTGAGGAGGAGGGGTTGGAGAATTTCGACCCTAAACTAGACAACCTAGCCATCATTTGAAATAGCCACTACGCAAGTGACGTTATCATTTTCCTCGAACAGCTGTTATGTAACTGCGTTAGAAAAAGAATATGGGTAGTTAGAGCAAAATCACTGCACCCATCCATGAAGTTGGTTGTTGGCTCGAGTCAATAAGGAAGTGTTTTTCTGATGTTCTCGTGATGTCGAGAATTAATGGTTGAAGAATTTTGCTGGCGTGGAGTAGAACCATTTACTCATCTGTGCCTTCAGCATTTGGAAAGTTTTTACTTATCATTAAGTAGTCATTCTTTCTACATTTTTCATTTACTGGATTTTCAATACATTTTCCTCTACCTGTGCTATTCTGAAATATAGTTTGTCCAATAGTCACACGTTGTGCAAATGAATACGTTGACAAGCCAAGCGGCAATTTACCCTGATACATTATTTGCACGTGATAACAGCAAAAACACAGGAGCTAACAGCATTCAGACGTTTCATGAATGACAAAACAGAAAATGATTCATTTGATCAGGGAACTCCAAAGATAATCTGCAGACACTTAGGCCTCCAAATCAAAGCACTTTAAAATGCTACTATGAGATCTCAAGCTACTTCATAAAAATGTACAGTCGTTATAAACAGTGACCAAATACGAAATTCAAAACTTGCATATAGGGAAGGAGTTTCGTTTAGATGCATCGATCCATAGTCCAATTCTTGTGTTTCATCCCTACGGGTAACTAAAATAGAAAATAATTATTAGGACTTATGAGAGAAGTCAGGATTTGACCGCACTTGTCCAGGAGCTCATCCGGACCTATCAGCTGATACTTGCAAAGTGCGCCTACAATTCAAGGTTTCAGTATCTGGCTAGTTACACTTAATTTACTCTGCTGCTTTTACCATTCTAATACTGAGTTTCTAGAAGCCAATTGAAAGGCCAGCGAGAGTAAATTTTCAAATTCAGTCGATTTTAGACCGAAGGTTTCATAAATGACTTAAAATTTGGAGAGAGATGAAGGACCACAGTGATACACTCATGTTGTAAGAAGACGTCAACAAATTGCGAGAGTGACCCAAAGAATGTATTATGCCGATGAATGTAGGAAATTTGCAGCCATGAGCATCGGAAACGCATGCGTCAGCCCCCACGAACTAGAAAAGGCAACACTCCCATCAGTTCAGACTCATATAGATTTAGATGTCATAGTAAGTCACGATTCAATACTACAGTACACTGCCGCGCAGTGGCTAAACATACTTTCAAATGCTTATGTGTAACTGGCAGAGCCTCCTGTAGAAATACCAGAGACATTTTCACTTCTATATATGCTGGGAAGCTATGCAGGCAGTCAGTTCTTGTCTTAAAGGGGATTCATATCCTAGAAGTGGCTCATATGAAGGCAACACTTATGATTACTGGCGTGACTAATATATCATACGAAGGAAAAAACAGTTTAAATCCCTAATCTCTGTCACACTCTCAGCAGATAGATCTAATTACCATGTAAAAATGTTTAATGATGGCTTCGGACCTCATCTATTCTCTCTTCTCCTTCCAACTAGGTTGGAACACCTTAGAGGTCATAGCAAGGGGATTCAAAGGACAAAAAGAAACAGTACCTCCGTGAAGTATTAAATCTAAATAAGCACAGACATCAGTTATGGTTAGTCGTTAAAGATTGTATGTTTGTGTAGTCTGTTTCTGAAGGATTGAGCTGAAATATCTGATACCATCGTCATTCTTATTGCAATTCAAAAATGGTAAGTTTTTAAAGGTAAGAAACAGCTTCTCAGTTATGTGTAGGCTGAGCTTAGTTTTTTAAGTCTCCAGCTTTTGGTGAGTAGGCCCTCACTCCATGGTCGATCTGTTGCCCGCACAAAATGTGTTACAGTGGCAATACATATGAATAAAGGCGTCTTGAGGAACTTCCATATTCTTTCATAGTCAAAAAACATAATTGTTTAATAATAATAATAATAATAATAATTTATTTTCATATAAACATAAATTTACATGAAAATGCATGCCATTTTTACAGGCACGATCAAGGATGATATAATGTCAAATCTTAAATTGTCTACAAATTAATAATGTCTCAACAGTTAAATATTTGATATATATATAAATACACATTGTCTGAACTAGGCTGTATAGTTATTGAATTGTACAATTGTCCTCCAGGTTGAGCGGGAAAATCGACTTCGTTTCGTTTTCATCCCGTGGTTGTAGGCATACGATAATCAACCAATATTGAGGTAAGTACAACGTTTACAAGGAATTGGAAGCTTTTTTAGAAAAATTAAAGTGCTGTGGTGTAACATTAAAGTGTAATAGATTAAGTGAGTGAAATATATCATTAATAAACACATTTATATAGAAAACAGAATGGGGAAGTAATTAATCCTTAGGCCGACAACGTTCATTTGCAATGTATAATGAAACCAATATATTTTATACTATCATGCGTTCACTTTTGGCTTTAATACAATTATTTTCAAGCCAGTTGTCTTTATTTCATGTCTTTTTTTCTATTTGGTACACAACCGTACCCTCCAGAGAATAGGAATAGAATAAGTCGAATCAAATTCATAAAGAGCTATCAAATGTTAGGTTTAATGGAATATAATGAGAATCAAGTAAAGACGTTATTAGAAAATAAGTGAGACAAGATATTGTGAAGTGGTATTTAAAGATCTGACAATGGATAGCAAGTTAATTCATAAGATGCCCCATAAATCTGTGCACATCCCACGTGGTCGCATCTCAACAATAGGCTGAGCGAATGGTATATATTTAAAGGTAGAAGCATTATCTGTCAAGGCGTTCACTATTATCTTTTTCAAGATAAAGATCTAAGCCCTCATAAAAATCAGAAATATCTCGAGCCTTTAATTTGTATATTGCTGTTCCTGCAGAATGGGGCGATTCACCTTAGTGACCACCACCATATCTACTGATCAGCTAACGCCACCCTCCCTCCTTTTTTGATGTTAAGCTCTGTGACTTATGAATAATGCAGTTGTCACTCTTAAGCAGAATGAAAGCTGACTTATGGAGCAAGCGAAAATGCAGTCTAACACAGAATTCGAAAATTATCAACAGTAGGAACCTGAGTTTGCTGATATTAGTGACCAATATCTGTTATTATGGTTATTCACCTGGAGTACATATGTTCTGAAGCACTATGAATGTTTTAACACGTGTACTTCTAAGTCTCCAGAAAATGCAGTACTAAGAAGGATTCTGCCCAAGCTTCTGGATGCCATCTACATGTGCTAGCTAGAGCACTTGTTGCCCATTGGTTAGTTGGAAATCATGTTGTCAACTGTCAATTGACTATCTGCCCCAATGAGCCTTAATATGGAGTAGAGGGCTCTCACCAGTGCGTCAATTTTTAAAGGAATCACGATAATATGCAAACACACATATATCCTACTAGCTGGTTGCAGTAGCCATTCTACGAAAATAGATGGACCACCACACACCTCTCTGGCCTGAGTGATTTAGACGTTGTCACAGATAGTTGAGGAGTTATTTAACATGACCAAAGAAACTTGGCAACTTTCTTAAAAGTCCTCCACTGCGTGATGAGACAGCTCAGGCTCCAAGGAGAACCCGTTTGAAGATTTCCTTTCAAAGGACTCATGTGGACTAAAGGCTTGTAACATATTTTTGTTGAACCTGTTTCCTTCAGAATGTCATTACCCTCTTGCCCATACTTGCATGAGAAAGGTACATCACCATGTTAAACACCCCCCCCAAGAAAGCCTACTCTAGTAGCAAGCTTTCCCTAAGTAGTAACTTCAGATCCATCGGAGGTAACCTTTACATTATGCAAAGCAACAAGAAGAGGTAATTTGTCTGAATCCTATGATGTATTTACGCAACATATTTCTTACAATCTGATCACACACTGACTTGTCACAGGAATATATATGAAATTAATGAAGGGTCAGGAGCCGAGAAAATAGATTTAGGTTAAGTTGAAAAGGACATAATGAAGGTCAAAACAACAATGAAGATCACTAAACCAAATGACAGAGGCAATAGTGTAATGATAGAAGACAAGGGCCAGGCAACGGATTGTTATTGAGAAAATCGACAAATATTTGTAGATTCTTGTGTACATTATTATTCGTTACTGTTAGCAGAGAAGTATCGTCTTCCGATTGGTTGTTTTCCTGCTGAAGGTTATTCTGCCATCTTGTAGCCGTTTCGTTGATAGTCCGGTGGTGTGTCTGCGAATCGCATCTGCCCACGCTAGGTCTATTGTGATTGGGCATTGGGTTCCCCAGGGTTAGGCTTTGTAATTTTGGCTGGCAGACAGCTCTCACCACAACAGCACATCTGCTATTGTATCGAAACAAGGTTTTCCAAGGAAGGTTGAGTGTGATGACAAACTGCTACCTCGAACGCATAAAGGTGGTTTAAACTTTCTAATTGGTAGCTATGGCTTCCACAGACTTTAGGATACGCTCCAAAATCGTTTTATAGTTATGTTTAAAAGATGTATAGATGTTTCAGACATTGTTCTCAAATTGGCCTATAATCCTCTAAGTATGTGGAACTGTTGTGCTACAGGTGTTCAGTTTCTGCGTGAATCATTTTTCCTTAATATTTTGGAAATCATCCGCTTTCCTCACATTATCCAGTTACCCATAGCCAACAAGGATTGTATTTTATCAAGTGGAACAACATTTGGCATTCGTTTGTGAAATCCATATCAGGAATCTTCGGATACCTCCTCTAACCACGTGGAACTCAGGACTTTATCCACAGCAAACACTGTAAAGGAAAGTCTGACCTTTTATTCTGCGATATACATCTGTTTATCTGTTTTGATACTTCGATAATACAGCTATCTTTTTTTATATCCTCAAGACTTTTTTCCGGAAATTGTGAAGTTTCTTATTTCTGTAATGGTTAAGTCTATCAAACGTGTAAGTACCGTTAAGAGACTGCGATCTAATACTAGTCAACCATCTGGAGGCCTCAGCTCCGTTGACAATTCTTCACTTTTTACACCAGCCACACCCAGAGCTATGGTATATGATATCATAGAGGAACTGACAGAGAATGCTGCTTGTAGCAAAAATGATTTACTGGCACTTCAGAAGTCAATAGCAGAACTACAGGGCAAGTTTGACAGCATTATGCCTCTCACGCAACTGTGTGACCGATCACAAAACATCTGTCTTGAATCACAAATCAAATCCGAGCGCATAATTGACTATTTGGCTGAAGAAGCTGTTAAGAGAATTATGTCTTCACATAACGTCTTGGCCTATTACATTCCAGACAGAGAGCTGATTGCCAAACTTAAAGATTCGTTTCTAAAGGCCTGTAACATGTAGTTGACAGAATGTCAGGTTTCGCGTCTTCGTAAGAAATCTGCAAACCACACATGTCCGGTGCTTTTCAAGTTTAGATCTACTGAAGAAGCCAGGAATTTTCTGAAATCCGGTAAGACAATAGGCTCTTCAACACCACACACTAACGTTTAGGTTGCACCTGATTTAACACCATGCCAAAGGCGATGCCGCTCAGAAACAGTGAACGCTGATAACTCTAATAGGGCAACTGTAAATGATTTCCACGCGTTATTCCGTCTAGTGAAATACCTGATCACGGCATGCAACAGACATTTTTGCAGGCACTGGCTAGTGTTAGCCAAAAATTATATAACGATATTGATGCTGACACTGAAATGGTGGACATAGATAAGTCAACGGGAAATAATGTTGAAATACATCGTTTTCACACTGACGCAAAAGTCAAGACACCGAAACCATCAAAACCCATCCCAC